CATGTATGACAAGCGGTATGAAAGATCGAGACTTCACGTAACTCATCAGTCATTTGACCGGTCAGTTGGGACCTCTGATTGGTCGAAATAGAGATATTGTCCAATTTTAATGGAAATTGGTGTAAAGCCGTTATCCAACATCAAGAACACAATGGCGAGGCCATTTTTCTTATTCAACAAACTGTCAGCCATTTTCAAGCAGCTTATTGGTCGATATTTAAACATATTCCGTCTATTGTTTATTTATAGGTATTGTCTAACATCAGGAACATGACGAAATTTGACTTCTGCCTCGTAAAAATCTCTGTAATTTTTAATCGTATTTCGTAATAACCCATACAATATGCATATCAATAACAACTGCAAGGGACTTAAATAATGTTTTGCATCTATTGGTTAAGATACAAGTTGTAAATGAATTTCACCCTTATATCTATTGGTTAAGATACAAGTTGTAAATGAATTTCACCCTTATATCTATTGTGTAAGATACGAGTTGTTAATGAATTTCACCCTTATATCTATTGTGTAAGATACGAGTTGTTAATGAATTTCACCCTTATATCTATTGTGTAAGATACAAGTTGTTAATGAATTTCACCCTTATATCTATTGGTTAAGATACAAGTTGTAAATGAATTTCACCCTTATATCCATTGGGTAAGATACGAGTTGTAAATGAATTTCACCCTTATATCTATTGTGTAAGATACAAGTTGTTAATGAATTTCACCCTTATATCTATTGTGTAAGATACAAGTTGTTAATGAATTTCACCCTTATATCTATTGTGTAAGATACGAGTTGTAAATGAATTTCACCCTTATATCTATTGTGTAAGATACAAGTTGTTAATGAATTTCACCCTTATATCTATTGTGTAAGATACGAGTTGTTAATGAATTTCACCCTTATATCTATTGGGTAAGATACGAGTTGTTAATGAATTTCACCCTTATATCTATTGTGTAAGATACAAGTTGTTAATGAATTTCACCCTTATATCTATTGTGTAAGATACGAGTTGTTAATGAATTTCACCCTTATATCTATTGTGTAAGATACAAGTTGTTAATGAATTTCACCCTTATATCTATTGTGTAAGATACAAGTTGTTAATGAATTTCACCCTTATATCTATTGTGTAAGATACGAGTTGTTAATGAATTTCACCCTTATATCTATTGTGTAAGATACAAGTTGTAAATGAATTTCACCCTTATATCTATTGGGTAAGATACGAGTTGTAAATGAATTTCACCCTTATATCTATTGTGTAAGATACAAGTTGTTAATGAATTTCACCCTTATATCTATTGTGTAAGATACGAGTTGTTAATGAATTTCACCCTTATATCTATTGTGTAAGATACGAGTTGTTAATGAATTTCACCCTTATATCTATTGTGTAAGATACAAGTTGTAAATGAATTTCACCCTTATATCTATTGTGTAAGATACGAGTTGTTAATGAATTTCACCCTTATATCTATTGTGTAAGATACAAGTTGTTAATGAATTTCACCCTTATATCTATTGTGTAAGATACAAGTTGTTAATGAATTTCACCCTTATATCTATTGTGTAAGATACGAGTTGTAAATGAATTTCACCCTTATATCTATTGTGTAAGATACAAGTTGTTAATGAATTTCACCCTTATATCTATTGTGTAAGATACAAGTTGTTAATGAATTTCACCCTTATATCTATTGTGTAAGATACAAGTTGTTAATGAATTTCACCCTTATATCTATTGTGTAAGATACGAGTTGTAAATGAATTTCACCCTTATATCTATTGGTTAAGATACGAGTTGTTAATGAATTTCACCCTTATATCTATTGTGTAAGATACAAGTTGTAAATGAATTTCACCCTTATATCTATTGGTTAAGATACAAGTTGTTAATGAATTTCACCCTTATATCTATTGGGTAAGATACAAGTTGTTAATGAATTTCACCCTTATATCTATTGTGTAAGATACGAGTTGTTAATGAATTTCACCCTTATATCTATTGGTTAAGATACAGGTTGTAAATGAATTTCACCCTTATATCTATTGTGTAAGATACAAGTTGTAAATGAATTTCACCCTTATATCTATTGTGTAAGATACAAGTTGTTAATGAATTTCACCCTTATATCTATTGTGTAAGATACGAGTTGTTAATGAATTTCACCCTTATATCTATTGGTTAAGATACAAGTTGTAAATGAATTTCACCCTTATATCTATTGGTTAAGATACGAGTTGTTAATGAATTTCACCCTTATATCTATTGTGTAAGATACGAGTTGTTAATGAATTTCACCCTTATATCTATTGTGTAAGATACGAGTTGTTAATGAATTTCACCCTTATATCTATTGTGTAAGCCATGAGTTATTACTGGATGTGATCGTTACGTCTATTGGGTAAGATACAAGTTTCACGTTTCACGTAAGTGATGCTTATTGATATCTTAAGACATAATCATCATTATGTGTTAACCGACATTAATACCAACAAACATTTCCGTAAGAAATGGATTATTGGTGAAACGAGAGCCAAACATGAACGAGGGAACATCCTTCAAGGAGAATAAGACGAAGTGTTCTTCTTCATCGACGATATCCGCTAAATCTTGTAAATCTTGGTCAATTTAGGGTTTCAGATGAGAAAAACCAACAATCTGGTAAGACTTTTTGCAGATGACTGCATAGTCTACAGAACAGTGAGAGGAGAAGAAAATGTTGACATACTGAAAACAGATCTTTCAGAGCTGGCAAAGTGGGAAAAACTGTGGGGTATGGAGTTCCACCCAGACAAGTGTAGTGTTCTTAGGGTCACTAAGAACAGGAAGACCATCCAAGCCTGGTACCATCTTAAAGGACACTTACTTGAGGAGACTAATTCCAGCAAGTATCTCGGGGTTGATCTCTCAGCAGACTTAACTTGGAACCATCACATAGATAGAGTATGCAAGAAAGCAAACAGCACTCTTGGCTTCCTTAGAAGAAACCTGAAGATCTCCAATGAGGATGTAAAGGCACGTGCATACTATACACTTGTTCGCCCAACCTTAGAGTACTGCTCATCAGTGTGGAGCCCACACACCAGGAAACAAATTGACCAACTTGAGATGATCCAAAGGAGAGTGGCGCGGTACACCACCAACAGATTTCGCAATACCAGCAGTGTATCTGACATGATGCAGACTCTACAATGGGAGACACTGAAATCAAGACGGCTTAAGATCCAGCTCACCATCATGTACAAGATTGCCCACAAGTTAGTGGATATCACAACAGAAACCTACTTAACACCATCCACAACTTGCACTCGTAGGAACCACTCACTAAAGTTCTCTTATCTCCCCTTATCCAAAAACACTTTCAGGTACAGTTTCTTTCCATCTACTATCCCACTTTGGAACTCTCTCCCAGCCAATGTAGCTGAGGCCCCTCATTTGGTATCCTTCAAGTAGGGGCTATCAACTCCTTCTTTTTAATACACTATCCAGACTATCTCCTCTGAAACTGGTAGTGAGAGCTGTGCCGGTTGGAGTTTATCTCCGGAGGCCGCTACGGTAGCCGGATTGGTCAAACTAGCAGTGGGATGAGGAGTTAGTTACAGGACACACACTACACAATACACACATTCAGTACAAATATATATCTCTTCTTAAATATTATCTTATCATACTTGTTTTTATAATTTGTCAGATGAAGCGCCGCGCACACTGTATAATGGTCAGCCAAATGACAGAACAGTGGACGATGCAGATGTAGAACAAATGCAACAAGAAAATGGATTAAAAAACGATCTTTATGATGTAACAAACAATGTTAGCATTCCTTAAGCAATATCAATAACCACATCAGTCCTTAAAGAACGACTAAGTTGGCATCATCAGTAAAAAAAATCAGATTAAACAAACATTTCACTCACTGAAAACTCGACTAAAATTTCAATCATGTTTGGTTCTTCTCAAAAACGTGATAATGGTTAAGCAGGAAATAGCTATACTTATGAAAATAGGAACGGATCCGGACCAAATTTTCGGATTTGTATCTATATTTCAGAGTAAATACAAAAATTCAATATTCATGGACCATTAGATCTAGATAAAAACATTTTGAATTCTATGAAAGAATTCATTTCATTTATATATGTTTTGCCTCTTTCTAATTTACTTACTAACAACTAAACAAATAATCCCCAATCTTAATATATGTTATATTGTGTAAGTTCAATGAATATTTAGAATTTAAATGAATAAATTCCAACATGAACCTTACTTGTTTTAGTATAGTAAAGCATGCACTTTATCAATTTATAGATATCTAGATATGTTGATAAAAACAGAGACGTATATAAAACATGTGATATATACGTCTCTGATTAAATATACATTAATTATTTTTTTCTTTTGTGACAAATGTCGTGACGCGCAAGGTGTGGTGAGTAAAAAATATCGTTTACGCAAAAAAAAGTTGGCAGATATGCACTGTGTTGTAAACTGTATAAAACGTTGCCTAGCTGAATGTCGACTCTTGAAGAGGTAACTCAGTATAGTAGCTAGTGTTTTTATATATGGAAGAATTATATATGTAAGTGATAACGAAACAGACTTTTCAATCCATGTGCGATGTGCATGTGAAAATAACGATTTCATTTCACAATTGTCGTTTGAATGCCGACCCAAGCGCTCTTCACTTATTGCCCTCACTTTACTTAGGGCCAGAGTTTCAACGTTCATCCATCGATTCCAGACAGAATAATCGACCATTAATGCAATTGTCAACAGAACACAAACAAAAAAAGGTGTAAGTATGTTAGTCTACTTGGCTTCTTAGAACATATTTTAAGGTAGGCTCAAATATTAAGGTCAGGATTGGTTAAGATGATCGAATTGGAGGTGTCCGCATCCTTAAACCACATCGCATCATGGTCTCAATAATGCTTAATTTGATCGTGTAGAATAAGCGCCTTTATTACATCGACCGTGACATTCGTCTGCCATTTTGGTTACAAAACAAGGGCATGAGCAGTGAAGGAGAATGGCAAGTCTCTGTAGAATAACGACCTCGCGGATCATTGCAGGTGAGAACACAACACTACTACATTCTGCAAACAGCACTGCTAATTCTTCACATTGTCTTTAAATAGCTCATTTATATTCTCGTGATTGATTTTAATCACTGACCGACTCGAAGTGACTGACAGAACCACATACGTTACATGTGGATTATGTAAGCTTGGTTTTAACTCAAAACATAACATATATATATTTCAAATGTTGTCTTTAATTCCACCAACTATACTATATAAAGCAATAGACAGTCAAAATGAATTATAGACAAAAATGGGTTTTCGTTAACTTGCTAATAATGTTTTTGAATGTCGCCTGCTTCCCACATCAGAAAATTGCATTTAAAAAGCCTGTTTGCGTAATTAACACCAACCGGGGATTAGATTTTGTTGTGCAAACAAGCAATTGATGATAACTCTATATGATTTGCGCTTTGTTTACTGTAGGTGATGTAAAATTTGTATTGCATTAAAAATATATTAGAAGACAACAAATGCATCAGCGGCTATTAACATGAAATTTAGGCGTGTTTTTCTTATTTCGTAATATAAATTATTAAAAATCAGGGTAATCGAAAATTCAGATGTAAGTATTATTTTGTAAGCTGAAGGCAGAAGCCAAGAAGGGTTATATATAGTCATATATGTTGATACAGATTTTTATTTTTCCAGCTGTACCGAGAATCTCACCACTGCCAGTGACATGTGTGAGAACGAACACCACAGAATCTAAACCAGAAAAGGTAAGTTGCTGATGTTTAGACATCAAAAATTAGCAGTTTTAGTCACAAAAATCAAAAGATGAATTTACATAATTAACGTTTATATAAATAAGACATTATTTGATGCAGAGTTTAAAACCCGGTTTTCAAAGAGAAAGAGAAAAAAAGGAAGTGATGATTAATGAATTTATATTATCCTTCTGTTTCTTTAGACTAAATATGGACCTTTGAAGGACGAAGACCGAATTTTCACAAATTTGTATGGCAGACATGACTGGGGCATCAAGGGAGCTATGGGACGGGTAAGTCAAAGTCAGCATGTACTCATATTAAAGTGAATAAATAGGGTTTCATTTATTTATTTGATTGAATGTGGAAAGTACGACTGTAGGTTGATATGCATTGAAAGAATACTTGCCTGTCATGTGATTTTCTTTTATCTTATCAAATGTAAATAATCATGATATCTTCAATATATTGCTCTAAACTGGAGAGAACTTGTCAATTGATTTGATTGGTTGAAAGCCACAGTAGAAGATCTGCATTGGTTGAAAGTCACAGTAGAAGTCCTGCATTGGTTGAAAGTCACAGTAGACATCCTGCATCGGTTGAAAGTCACAGTAGACATCCTGCATTGGTTGAAAGTCACAGTAGACATCCTGCATTGGTTGAAAGTCACAGTAGAAGACCTGCATTTAATTGAAAGCAACAGTAGAAGTCCTGCATTGGTTGAAAGTCACAGTAGAAGTCCTGCATTGGTTGAAAGTCACAGTAGAAGTTCTGCATTGGTTGAAAGTCACAGTAGACATCCTGCATCGGTTGAAAGTCACAGTAGACATCCTGCATTGGTTGAAAGTCACAGTAGACATCCTGCATTGGTTGAAAGTCACAGTAGAAGTCCTGCATTGGTTGAAAGCCACAGCAGAAGTCCTGCATTGGTTGAAAGCCACAGCAGAAGTCCTGCATTGGTTGAAAGCCACAGCAGAAGTCCTGCATTGGTTGAAAGCCACAGCAGAAGTCCTGCATTGGTTGAAAGCCACAGTAGACATCCTGCATTTAATTGAAAGCAACAGTAGAAGTCCTGTATTGGTTGAAAGTCACAGTAGACATCCTGCATTTAATTGAAAGCAACAGTAAAAGTCCTGCATTGGTTGAAAGTCACAGTAGACATCCTGCATTGGTTGAAAGCCACAGCAGAAGTCCTGCATTGGTTGAAAGCCACAGCAGAAGTCCTGCATTGGTTGAAAGCCACAGCAGAAGTCCTGCATTGGTTGAAAGCCACAGCAGAAGTCCTGCATTGGTTGAAAGCCACAGCAGAAGTCCTGCATTGGTTCATTTAATGCATTTCCCATTCTACTATCTGTACTTTTTTTTTGGGAGGCAACAATAACAGACATTAAGCCTAGGTCTGTTAAACACAAAAATAGATAAAATTATTGGGTCAAGTTTTACTTCATTGGAGTGTAGTCTGAAGGGATTAGTTAAAGATCTTTCACTTTTGGATTTGAGTTACATGTATTCCCAAGTTATGAAACATTATTTAAACTTGACAAAATGTAAACATGACATTTTTTTTTTGGTTTTAGGGAGATTGGTATAAAACTAAAGAAATCATGGACAAAGGCCATGATTGGATACTGAAAGAGATTACTACATCAGGATTAAGAGGCCGTGGTGGTGCTGGCTTCCCAACTGGAATGAAATGGGGTTTCATGAATCGCCCCAGCGATGGAAGGTAGGCATGTCCCTTTTATCTCATAAGCCCCCTGTGGACGGAGACAAATACAAACTGCTGTCATAAACTGGTCAGTAGGGAGTGTTATAGAGATTTATGCATGTCATACTGGACTTTGATTTAAAGTAGTTTTTGATGGCATGGCTTAGAATGTAATCATGTTCTTGACGCTGTTCTTAAATTGTATGATATATAGAAACTACGTATATGGGGTTTGCTGCACCTCCCCGTCTAGATTTCACTTTTCGTTTGATTACTTTGGATTTTCCTCAGTCACATCGTAGACTTCAAAAGTTAGGCCCTAAGCATATCTGAGAAGGCCTAGAAAGATGAGACAGTAGTATGATGCAGTTTTATTAATAATTTGGCTCTGCTTTATCTTGCTCTAAATTATTGAAAGGTGCCATTCGTTTATGTGTCTTTTACACAATCTAAAGCAATATTCACATCATAGGATTCAAAGTTTTCAGCCTTTGTTCTTAGATATGCAGTCACACGCATCACTGCAAACATGAAAAAAAAATTCTTATCCGTCTAGTAATGCAAGGTGATAATACACCATAAAGAAATAAATCCAGGTAAATTTAAGGTAAAGTGCTTGGCTTTCACTGTGTGAAATTATTGTAAGATAATATTTAACACTAATAGCTAAACATGATAGGATACAGAACTAACACCAAATTTCGATACTGTCTGTCAGTCATGTTATTCATTGTAATGTATTCTATTGTGTTCATTAAAGACCTAAGTACTTGGTTGTCAATGCGGATGAGGGCGAGCCAGGAACCTGTAAAGACAGAGAGATCATGCGACACGACCCACACAAACTGGTGGAGGGATGTCTGATAGCTGGCAGAGCCATGAGGGCTCAGGCAGGTCAGTGGGAGACCCAGGTTTTCTGTTTAAATAGAATCAGAGAATCTACGAAGAGTTCAGAAGTCTAGTTTAAATTTGTGACATTCAGTTGGTGTACTTTGATGTTAAATGTTTGTTCATATCTGAAATTGATATTGATGAACCAAGAGTTGTTAGTACTCAGTCTCAATATCTATCGTATTTTATCTCTTCTTTCAATATTCACTTTGCAGATGAAAAAATGCCAAAGTATATCACCTTTTTCTATACACCTTACTTAGCTGCTACATTTCAAGATGTTAGGATTTGGATTTCAACCATAGATTTTAGACATGTGAAATTTATACTACCTGTAGGTAATGTTGAAATCATTTATATCGGATTTCTGTTCTGATATTTAATGTTTACTTTTAGCTTATATTTACATCCGAGGGGAATTCTATAATGAGGCGTCTAATCTAAATGTGGCTGTCAAAGAGGTGAGTTGATGTTAGACTCATTACAAAGCTTTTAAAGACAGTGTATAACTTTTCTACTTAAATGCTGCAGTCATTGGTCTTTTAACATCTTTTCACATTCTACAGTGTTCTTCATGTAGGATGTTTCATATTGGACTATTTTCCAGCATACCATACAGGTACTTATCTTGCAAAAACCCATGCAGGTAATAAGTAATATCTCCACCCCATCCCCCCTAATTTTACTCAGAGGTTAAATGTTGCCCCATTGGTTTAAATGAGGCTTTTGTCTTTTGTACTGTGATTCCTATGGTTAGTGACAGTTGCTTGTTTTACATCTACTCTAGGCCTACAAAGCCGGTTTCCTGGGTAAGAACGCATGTGGTTCTGGCTATGACTTTGATGTGTTTGTACACCGCGGCGCTGGAGCCTACATCTGTGGGGAAGAAACTGTAAGCATAAGTAAAGTCACTGGAGAACGATTTAGAAGTTGATGTTATCAGAGACTTGTTATCATTGTTGAATAACATGTATCACTTAAACAGGGTATAGAAAATTAAGTGAATACTGCATAACACATATGTAAGGTATGTGAATATTCACTTTCATAATTATGAGGTAGCTCATGTCTGGTGTAATATAGCATGGTGTAAACTTTGAATAATAATATTTGAGTTTTACGATAAGTGTTTTGTAATAATAGTTTGAATGAAGCCTGAGCTTGGACATATCAAAATTTTATTTATATAAACTTGTGCCTTGTATTAGTGGTAATAAGCTTATCATTACTGACAGTCATTTCAGTAGAGATGAAACAAAGACTATGTTATTGTCCTTCCCCTTCTATGAGTTAAGAACTATGTTTTCGCCATTTAGACATAGGAACACAGTGTGATGTAAGCTCAAAAGTTGAAATGAGTCAAAGCATCCACCATATGTACACTGTTTGGATTATTAAATGTTTCAGTCCCTAATTGAATCTCTGGAAGGAAAGGCTGGTAAGCCACGTTTAAAGCCTCCATTTCCTGCTGATGTGGGTGTCTTTGGATGTCCAACAACTGTAGCTAATGTGGAAACTGTTGCTGTAGCACCGGTAAGTAGTCAACACAGTGTTGCAATAGTACTAGTTAGTAGTTGTTATAATGTCGCAGTAGTACGAGTTAGCAATCATCATAGTGTCGCAGTAGTTCCAGTTAGCAATCATCATAGTGTCGCAGTAGTTCCAGTTAGCAATCATCATAGTGTCGCATTAATTCCAGTTAGCAATCATCATAGTGTCGCAGTAGTTCCAGTTGGCAATCATCATAGTGTCGCAGTAGTACCAGTTGGCAATCATCATAGTGTCGCAGTAGTACCAGTTGGTAATCATCATAGTGTCGCAGAAGTACAAGTTGGCAATCATCATAGTGTCGCAGTAGTACCAGTTGGCAATCATCATAGTGTCGCAGTAGTACCAGTTGGCAATCATCATAGTGTCGCAGAAGTACCAGTTGGCAATCATAGTGTCGCAGTAGTTCCAGTTAACAATCATCATAGTGTCGCAGTAGTACCAGTTGGCAATCATCATAGTGTCGCAGTAGTACCAGTTGGCAATCATCATAGTGTCGCAGTAGTACCAGTTGGCAATCATCATAGTGTCGCAGTAGTACCAGTTGGCAATCATCATAGTGTCGCAGAAGTACAAGTTGGCAATCATCATAGTGTCGCAGTAGTACCAGTTGGCAATCATAGTGTCGCAGTAGTTCCAGTTAGCAATCATCATAGTGTCGCAGTAGTACCAGTTGGCGATCATTATAGTGTTGCAGTAGTACCAGTTGGCAATTGTCATATTGTCACAGTAGTTCCAGTTAGCAATCGTCATAGTGTCACAGTAGTTCCAGGTAGCAATTGTCATAGTGTTGCAGTAGTACCAGTTGGCGATCATTATAGTGTTGCAGTAGTACCAGTTGGCAATTGTCATATTGTCACAGTAGTTCCAGTTAGCAATCGTCATAGTGTCACAGTAGTTCCAGGTAGCAATTGTCATAGTGTTGCAGTAGTACCAGTTAGCAATTGTCAAAGTGTCGCAGTAGTAGCAGTTAGCAATCGTCAGTGTCGCAGTAGTAGCAGTTAGCAATCGTCATGGTACTGCAGTAGTACCAGTTAGCAATCATCAAAGTGTCATCATTGAAATATAAAAATTCTTTGTCAATTAAAAGAAATTCTTCGAAGGCGTAAACAGATGTCACCATGTGGCTAGGGGTGACCTTGGTTAGGGATCACATTATTTGTTAAGCTTTTCTAGGAAGCTTCCAGTTAATTATGTCCCCCAAACGAAGTCCAGGACTCGAAATAATGGAGTTCCTCAGGAAAACATGAGTCCAGGACTCGGAATATCTGAGTCCCACAGGGAAAACAGGAGTCCAGAAATTGTATATTTGAGTCCCAAAAAACATGAAATATGGTGTGGACGCAGAGAATTACAGTAACAAGAACTTACAGTGAGAAGGACAAACATCCTCTGTACTTCAGACTGCATACCCCAGATCAGATATCAAAGGATGTTACCACATAAAGGGTCTATGTCAACAGTATGTCATGGGGTCAAGGTCACTCATATATCTAATAGGTTGAAGTTTAAAGACAAGAAGGAAATAGATTATCACTGTGACAGTTCTCACTTGTACTTAAGATGAATGTGAGAGTAATGTGTGTCATAATTCCAGGCAATCTGCAGAAGGTCAGGAGATTGGTTTGCATCATTCGGAAGGGAAAGGAACCGTGGCACCAAGGTAAATGAAATAATTGATGGGATCCAAAGTTTAATAAAGACTTAATTAGTTTCTCATTGTGATGGTTTTGGGTCTATTTCACATTAGTATTATAACATTCTGAATGGCCTGTCAACACATAAAAGGTCATTAGGGTCATCAAACGGTAAACACAGTGATCCCCATTTCACATGTTACAGCATCATAAAAACGTAAATCGCAACAACTTGATATATAATCTGGGGTCCATTTATTATGTAAAAGAGACAGAAAAAGTTGTTAATCACAGTCAGTAAAGACTGGAAATATAATCTGGGGTCCATTTATTATGTAAGAGAGACAGAAAAAGTTGTTAATCACAGTCAGTAAAGACTGGAAATATAATCTGGGGTCCATTTATTATGTAAGAGAGACAGAAAAAGTTGTTAATCACAGTCAGAAGTTCCTTTAATAAATTGCAAAGAATAATAAAATGAAATATTTTGAAATTTGAAAAGCCCAAGAAATGACACATGGACAGTCAATATAATCCCACTAGCTGAGCTCCTAATATCTAAGTTGATGTGAAGAACCAGTAACTGTGATCCCAAAGGAGTCATCAGAAAATGATTTGTTTGTACTGATGTATTTCCAGCTGTTTAACATTTCTGGCCATGTAAACAACCCTACCACTGTGGAGGAGGAAATGTCTGTACCACTGAGAGAACTCATTGAACGTCATGCAGGAGGTGTTATTGGAGGCTGGGACAACCTCCTAGGTGTTATTCCTGGAGGTTCCTCTACACCTGTCATACCCAAAAGGTAAATGTCACACACCTGTCATACCCAAAAGGTAAATGTCACACACCTGTCATACCCAAAAGGTAAATGTCACACACCTGTCTTACCCAAAAGGTGAATGTCACACACCTGTCATACCCAAAAGGTAAATGTCACACACCTGACTTACTCAGAAGGTGAATGTCACAGAAGGTAAATGTCACACACCTGACTTACTCAGAAGGTGAATGACACACACCTGTCATACTCAGAAGGTGAATGTCACACACCTGTCATTCTCAGAAGATAGTTTTACACCAGTCATACTCATAATTCGACTCAAAGTGTTCAAATAAGGTTGAGGATATCAGTTCCTTGATGTTGGATAGGATTAACGAAGTACAGGCGATGACAGCATAGTACACAGTACGGGCGACGACAGCATGGTACGCTATAACACCCAATCAACTACGTTTATACTCACATTGCTTTGTTCCATACATGTGTAAACTACCCTTACTGACAAATTACATATATACTGAACAAAATAAGTTAAGGATCATAAACTTGAAACAGTGCAGTTTTACATACAAATAATAATATGATTATATTTTAAATTTTAATGACAGAACATTCATTTTAGTCTTTAATTACACAAAACAAATTCATTTGTGGTAATTGCTACCAAGAGCAGATAACCCTGAGTAACAGCACCCTTGCAATCAAAGTGTAAGAGGAAGTAGAGCAAGTTAATCATGTAGACAAGGAAAACTCATCAAACTGCAATTGGCAGTTTAATAGGCAGTATGACCTCCGTTGACATCAATAACTGCCCTGCAACGTCTGCACATGCTCCTTATTAGTCGTCGGTGGCTGATCTGTGGGATGCGCTGCCATTCAGAGCAATCATAAGCTGTTGGCGGTTCTGTGGCGGATTAGGTCGATGTTGTGTCCCAAGCATGCTCGATAGGGTTCAGATCAGGAGAACGACTTGGCCAGTCCATGCGAACGATTGCTTCACAAGATAGTCGTTGACCACACGAGCACGGTGAGGACGAGCATTATCATCCATCAGAATAAAATCATGGCCAACAACTCCTGCAATGGGCCTTACTATAGGGTGTAGAATCTCGTCCCTGTATCGAACAGCTGTTGAAGATCCATTGTCTATGATGTAGAGGTCTGTATGGAAAACAATCCCTGTCATGACCCACCACCAAAGCGATCATGCTGGACAACACAGCAGTCTGCATATCCTTGGGTTCTCCATACCCTCCTCCTACCGTCATGGAAGTCAACACAAAACCTAGACTCCTCTGTGAACATAACATTTCTCCAATGACGTAATTGCCAATTCAAATGATGAGTGGCCCATTGATGTCTGGATTGTCGATGACCTCTGGATAAAATTGGCACTGCTGGTCTTCTAGCTCGTAAATTAGAGGCATGGAGTCTGTTTCTGATTGTCTGGGATGAAATCCTTAGATTTGTAGCACGCTGAAACTGAAGATTCAAGACAGGAGCACTCAAAAACCGCTGACTCTCTCCGTGATGCAAATGAATCTGTTTCCTGTCGTACAGCGTGGTCGTCCAGATCTGGGGCGTTGACGGACGTTATTTGTCTGTTGATAGCGATTCCATAGCCTACTAATCACGCTCTGAGAAACATGAAGCTGTGCCGCCACATTTCGTTGAGTTTGACCAGCTTGAAGGAGCCCTATAGCTCGCGCGGCTTCCATATCATTTAAATGTCTTCGCATGATTAGTTTTTCAAGTTTTCGTTACAAATTGATTAAATGTTTCCAAATTCAACTTTTTTTAGCTTAGAAGTAACAGAATCAAAACCTGCAAGATTCCTCTGTAGTAATAGACCATTTTTCACACCACCATAGTTAACTAGAGCGGAACGGCAAGACCTTCAGATGCACGTGCTTTCACCTTTGACATGACTTTAGGTACATATTGGAGAAACTACAATACATGATTTGAATTTTTAAAGATATTATGGTCACAATTTATGATCCTTAACTTATTTTGTCCAGTATAGATTACATATTTTATGGAATGACAAATGAAAATCAACTTTTGATACTGAAAACAATGTATGAAGCTACAAATCATATTAATAGGACTTGACTATGAATGAATAAATGTATGAAAAACGTGGCACAAACAGCACTAGCCTAAACAAATCTTGCACATATACTCTCTCCATAAAACATTTCCAGCACTTCATTGTCGAAGCACTAAATCTAGTGAAGTGTCCAATCACTGGTAGTAAACAAGCTCAAAAATTAGGACCTCTGGTAATTGTGGTAATCAGACTTCATCAAACAAATTGTACTGGTTTGACAGTTTCGTTTTTTATTGTTCCTGAAGATGCGCATAACCAAGCTAATTGTTTGCATGGCTTGTGTAAACATGCTGTTTGTTTACTGTAAGTCACTACAGGATGGTGACACTAATTAAGAAACAAACTTTTGACTGGGTAATTAATCTGTTAATTAATCAGCAGAGACCATGCAGTGTAGTGTGTACAATTGACTGACACACCACAATTAGCCATTTGTTGTGCACGGGTGATTTTCAGCTGTGTATGTATAGACCAATTTTGTTGCAAGACGTGCCAATATTTTGACAAAAATTGATTTTGAGACAATGAATGACTTTTTCCCTGACTTTACAAGAGACTATGAAACAATTGCAATGAAATTTGAGTCATCGTAACTAAAATTTTAGATTATAGATGGGAAAATATTGGGACTGGGAAATTGTTTTGACTAAAATGGAATTTTGAATGAAGCGATTAAGTGAAGAGTTTCAACTGTATATCCATCAGAAAAATTAGAGATTTCACAGTCTGATAATTTTCCAGCTTATATCAAACAATAACTTGTGTTTGATCTCATAGATATCCTTGTATATACAACACAATTTGACTGATGATTCGGGCAAGTGTTGGTTAGGAGGAGGTATTTCTGTATCATGATGATGTTGGATGTGATGATGGAGTTAAACAGCCTCAGCAACATATATATGTGGTTTTTATTTCTAGTGTGTGTAGCGATGTTATGATGGATTTTGATGCCCTCGTACAAGCCCAAACTAGTCTTGGCACAGCTGCCGTTATTGTGATGAATAAGGATGCTGATATTGTGAGGTGTATCTCGCGTCTTATTGAGTTCTATAAACATGAAAGCTGTGGGCAGGTAAGGACACTGTTATCCCCAATGTGCTTTGTCCCCATCTTTCAACCATTTTAATAACTAGTTCTAAAAACAGGAAATTTGTGTAAGGTTACTATTAACTTGATTATTGTGTCTCAATTCTGTCACAAAAAATCTCAATCAGTGTGTACAGTTAAAAGTTATGTATAAAATTTACAGTTTTAGGAAATATTTATCATTTTAGATTCATGGAAATATTTGCAAAGATTTTTTTTCAGCTTGCCAGGACTTGTATAGAAAAGAAATCTTAAGCAGTATCGTATCAAATAGGAACACCTGTTAGACGAGTTTGGGTGACACTATACAGATTAGAAATAGGCTCTAATTAAACACTGTCTGTTTCAGTGTACACCTTGTAGGGAAGGAACAGGTTGGATGACAAAGATTATGAGCAGATTTGGTAAGATACCTAGCATTCCATCATCGATATTAATATGCTTGCTACTTTTCCAATTTTAGTGATCAATTTTTTTTTTTGACTTTAAACTGCCAAAATTCAGAAACTGCAAGCGATCTTTATCTAAAAGTTATCAATTTAGGTTTTAGTTGGTCCAAACGTCCTGATGTTTTTCAATTTTTTCCACAATTATCATTCGAATGCCAACACAGATGCGTGACACTTATTTGTTATAGGGCCAGAGTTCTGACGTCCATTGACTGAATTTTAAGAAACATGATGACGTCACAGAAGAATTATACAGGGTCACATAACTTAAAGTATCCAACAAAGATCATACCAAAATATAGCTGCTGTTATTGCATTTAATAAAATTTCTTTTTCATTGGTCAAGATCATTAAGGTTTCTGAAATTAGAAACTGTTTATGGTTGATTTTTTCATCACTACAGAAACAGGAAATGCAAGACCAGATGAAATTGACATGTTGTATGAGCTCAGTAAACAGATTGAGGGACATACCATTTGTGCTTTAGGAGATGGTGCAGCCTGGCCTGTACAGGTAATTTGATATTTATCACACACACTAAGAAGAAGTCATTAATGCTCTGAATATTACCTGTAGAATGAGACCTTTGGTGTTAAGGGACTGTCTGTGTTGTTTTAACGACGACATAAGATGAACACCTGTAGGAGAAGACCTCTGGTGTTAGGGGACTGTATGTGTTGTTTGACCGACTACATAAGATGACCACCTGTAGGATAAGACCTCTGGTATTAAGGGACTGTGTGTGTTGTTTGACCGACTACATAAGATGAACACCTGTAGGATAAGACCTCTGGTGTTAAGGGACTGTCTGTGTTGTTTGACTGACTACATAAGATGAACACCTGTAGGATAAGACCTCTGGTGTTAAGGGACTGTCTGTGTTGTTTGACTACATAGACGACCACCTGTAGGATAAGACCTCTGGTGTTAAGGGACTGTGTGTGTTGTTTGACTACATAAGATGACCACCTGTAGGATAAGACCTCTGGTGTTAAGGGACTGTCTGTGTTGTTTGACTACATAAGATGACCACATAAGATGACCACCTGTAGGATAAGACCTCTGGTGTTAAGGGACTGTCTGTGTTGTTTGACTACATAAGATGAACACCTGTAGGATAAGACCTCTGGTGTTAAGGGACTGTGTGTGTTGTTTGACTGACTACATAAGACGACCACCTGTAGGATAAGACCTCTGGTGTTAAGGGACTGTGTGTGTTGTTTGACTGATGAGTAGATAAGACCTCTGGTGTTAAGGGACTGTCTGTGTTGTTTGACTAAGGGACTGTCTGTGATGTTTGACTACATAAGATGACCACCTGTAGACCACTGTGTGTGTTGTTTGACCGACTATATAAGATGAACACCTGTAGGATAAGACCTCTGGTGTTAAGGGACTGTCTGTGATGTTTGACTACATAAGATGATTACCTGTAGGATAAGACCTCCGGTGTTAAGGGACTGTCTGTGTTGTTTGACTACATAAGACGACCACCTGTAGGATAAGACCTCTGGTGTTAAGGGACTGTGTGTGTTGTTTGACTGACTACATAAGACGAACACCTGTAGGATAAGACCTCTGGTGTTAAGGGACTGTGTGTGTTGTTTGACCGACTATATAAGATGAACACCTGTAGGATAAGACCTCTGGTGTTAAGGGACTGTCTGTGATGTTTAACTGACTACATAAGACGACCACCTGTAGGATAAGACCTCTGGTGTTAAGGGACTGTGTGTGTTGTTTGACTGACTACATAAGACGAACACCTGTAGGATAAGACCTCTGGTGTTAAGGGACTGTCTGTGTTGTTTGACCGACTACATAAGATGAACACCTGTAGGATAAGACCTCTGGTGTTAAGGGACTGTCTGTGTTGTTTGACCGACAAATAAGATGATTACCTGTAGGATAAGACCTCTGGTGTTAAGGGACTGTCTGTGTTGTTTGACTGACTACATAAGACGACCACCTGTAGGATAAGACCTCTGGTGTTAAGGGACTGTGTGTGTTGTTTGACTGACTACATAAGATGAACACCTGTAGGATAAGACCTCTGGTGTTAAGGGACTGTGTGTGTTGTTTGACCGACAAATAAGATGATTACCTGTAGGATAAGACCTCTGGTGTTGGGGGACTGTATGTGTTGTTTGACTGACTACATTTCCTTTTTGTTGATAAAGAGACCTTAAATCAACTACATTTAGAAAATATTTCATAGACTGAAAACAGATTTTTTCTTGATTGCAGTATTGATATGAAATCCTGCTTTGATTTATGTACATGTATGGTACTAAACGGGGTCATCACAGTCTAAACATTGATTTTGTTATTGAGAATACATATTTGATATCCCAATATTCACATTTGATTTCTAATGTCCAGCTGGACCACTTCTTTGGTTCAGGAAACCCCTCTCAAATTTAGAGCTGATAATGTCACATGATAGCTTTTAAAAGGAGGCATTTAATTTTGTAAACACAAAATGCAGGATGACAGGCAGAAATGAGAGCGACAGTATTGACACAGTTAAATCCAGTTTTTCAGCACTGGATATTATTATGAGTGTGGCAAATGTTATTTGATAACTCTGAATTAGTTCAGAGTTATGAAATAAGTAACATTTATTGATCAACAGATAAAGATTTCCTTTTTAGAATTATTAGTCCCCTGCCGATGAAACCAGAGGGGACTGTAGTGTTTGTCTCCGTCTGTCCGTATGTTGGTTTCCAGATGATAACTTGAGAACAGATTGATGGATTTGGATCATACTTCATACAATGGTAGTTTATAAGGCAATATAGTGTGGGATTTTGTTTGGGGTCAAAAGATCAACTACAAAGGTCACTGTTACTAAAAATAGAATCTTGTCACAATTTAGTTTTTAGATTATAATTTGAGAATGGATTGATGGATTTGGTTGAAACCTGATACACTGGAAGATTATAAATAATAAAACAAGACACTTCTGATACAGAACAAGTTCTGTATTACTTGAAAAAATAATGTATAAATACTGCAGATCATGGGGCCAATATATAAACTCTGATTCATAGTAAAGGGTTAGCTTATTGCAAACAGTTAAGTAGTATTTGCTCCCATTTGCTTTACAACAGAACATTGATGGGCTTATTAGCAGACATGGGCATATTTGCTGATAAATACAGTAATTTACGGCAGGGGACGTGTTGCATGCAACACTAACTGTAAGCTTGTCGATTAACCTCTTTTTTGTGCATATTTCACCGAAAACCAGTTGTTATTGCTCATAATGTGATACACTAGATAAATATGAAAATACTCCATAAAAAAATATTGCTTAACCATGATGCCACTTTAAAGATTTCTCTCTCTCTCTGTAGTTGAACTTGTAATCTTGCTTCATAGTAAGTAAGCTATAATCAAAATGCAGAATGTTGGACCAAAGGAAATGAATTCAAATAATTTTACAACTGTTTTTTTTTTAGGGACTTATTCGACATTTTAGACCAGAACTTGAACGGAGAATGTCAGAATTTGCCAAGAAACAAGCAGCCACCGCATGATGGATTTAAAATCAGTTGATAAAAACTCTATTTATGATATTGGTAAATTAACAACAGCCTTTAAATGTTACTACAGTGTTTCGGGGAAGAGTATAACAGTCCCTGTCTGATAATTTTCAGAGGAAATGGTTGCTGTTGTAATTTCAGGCATTATTTACAAACTTGAACTAGGATATTGAAGTGGAATGGACAAATACAAGTAACACCAGTGTGTATGGATTATGAATTTGATGAAGGACAAATAATGTAAATATGTATATTGTGATTTAGTGTGGGAAGGAGTTTCTTCTACAGAAAGTTGTAAATGATATGATGTACCATACTGTGTGATTAAAAGCTACATCAAACATCTTCGGAGTTACATTATTACTTTCAGTTTCTATATATAGACAACCATTCTCTGATGGTGGGCTATTCAAATTGCCCTATGTCGATGGTCCATCTGGCCGTCTGTCAGTAAACAATTCTTGTTCTCGTTATTTCTTCAGAGAATCTTGACAGATGATCTCTCTCGCTCGAATTTCACATGTACCTTCCCATTGGTCCTTAGTTGTGCCTGTTTGATTTTGGGACTGATCAGATAAAACATGGCCAAAAGATGGCCATGTTGGATTTTGCCTAGGAAAGTTTGTTATTGCGAAGAACTGAAAGGACCTCTCTCAAATTTCATATTTAGGTTCCCATAGTCCCTAGTTGTCATATATATTTTTGTTACTGATCAGAAGAACAAAATGGCCAACTGACTGCCATCTTTATAACTTGACAGTTAAAAATTATTTCACTATTTCTGCACAGGAACATTCAAGTTTTGTATCTTTTAGAATGGAAGAGAATTAAAAAGAAGGGAAAAGATCCAACTTTTTAAGAACAAAGATGAAACAATAGTGGGCACCAAGGTCCCTTCGGGATCTCTTGTTGATAAACCTGTTAAAAGCTTTAACTAGATATATTATTGTATGGTCCACCTGTACAGCCTTTTGTTTGTATGCTGTACACAATAATTGGTCCGTAAATCTTCTCCCACAGTTTTCTGCCCTACTGAAAACTTGGTAGGCTTGATCACCCAGACACACAATGGTGTTTTCCAGAACAGGATATAAAAGTATTTTTGGAAGAGTTATTTCCCTTGGTTTTCTCCTTCAGATTAATATTGTCAGTTGATGTCTGTTCTAAACCAGTCTCTTTCAAACTAAGGAGGCTTTATGATAAGAAAAGTTTTTTGTCCTGAAAGCATCATGATTCAACAATTTTTGGAGCAGTTATTTTCCTTCGTTCCTTTCAAGTGTTTTTGATGCTAGATTTTTATCATAATGCCAGGTGTGCTTTTGAAGTGATATAGATATTAAATTTATGTATGTTGAAGGGTCAAAATGACAATAGTCATCTTGCCTCATCCATCATCAGGTGTCGAGTGTAAACACTTGAAAGGTGAAAGGGATCAAAAATCTTAAAATCTTTTAATGACTTCTCAATAACCAAAAAGCCAAGAATGACAACTTTCAAGGTCACAGGTATCAAATGTGTTAAATCACTTCTCAATAACCAAAAGGCCCTGGGTGCCGATATTTGGACCAACTTTAAAATTTAGGGGTCAATTGTGCTGAAATGCTTAAGCAACTTCTTTTCAATATCGAAAGGCCAAGGGTCTTGATATTGGGCCTGTAGTTTGCTTTTCAACAAGCAATAGGTTCGGAATTATGGTGATTGTGTAGTGTATGTATAAAGAATATGATTTCTAGCTTGCAGAAAATGCCTTGTTGAACCAACAATGTCTTCTATGTAAGCTGTAGAGTAGTTGAGTTATTTATTTCAGGTCTATGATGATGAAGGTTTCTCGTCCCAGTGACTCTGCCCGTTGCCGGGCATTGTCCAATTGACGTGTGTCGATTCTCTGGCGACGTCATTTTAGGCCTATTGTGCCTCTTTCATTTAATAGGTCTTTATAGTCAGATGACTGTTGAGGCCTGTTTTATACAGTTATGTTTCTCTTTGGCATGGGAACAGAGTATGTACTTCTCTTATTTTAATTTATAATTTAATTTATTATTAAAGGGCACTGGTACTTTTCTGGGTGATTTTATCACTGGCTGGAATGAAACTTACCTGCTGGGTTTTACACCACACAAGTTAATGTTGTCACATGTCAGTCAAGTAAGTGTGACCACATCGCCAGTCTACAAACAACGGATCCGAGGAACTTCTTGAACATGAGTATCTGTGAAACTGATGAACGATCCTGAAAACAATTTAAATGGACACAAAATTTTAATGAAGAGAAATGATTCTGCAATTAAGGGATTTCAGGCCCTTAACTTGGTACACTAAACATCCCCTTAGTATGACCAGATGATATATACCAAGTTTCATGATCCTAGCTCAACTTAAGGACAAACAGACAAAGGGGCTACTACATGATGTGTATACTGCACACAAATTTTCAGGCAGCATAATAAAACAAGAGATCCCAGAGGGATCTTGGCGCCCACCATTTGAGGATCTGTTTTCAGTTCTTGAAGATTTGTATATTTCTTTTGTGTTACAGGTTTTGTAAATGTTCATGAACTGGTCTTCATTGAATGTTCTCAATGATGGCACAAGATATTTTTATTAAGCACCTATTAGCAAATATTTGAAAAAGATATTATTATTAGATAGCAGTCAGTTACAGGTGGATAATGGACATGGTCTTGAATCAATATGATAGAATATCGAAGAAAATATGCTTGTGGTGTATTACTGTCAACATCCAAGATAGCTGCCTGTGGGCCAACTTGATTTCAAATCAGTCCAAAAAAAGTACAATGCACAACTAGGGACCAAGGGAAACCAATACCAATGAAATATCAGAAGTATCCATCCAGTACTTCCTCAGAAATAGTGGTAACAAGATTTTACTCTCAAAATCCAAGATGGCTGCCTGTCAGCCATCTTGATTTCAGATCAGTCCAAAAAGGTACAATGCAAAACTAGGGACCAAGGGGAACCTGCATATGAAATTTGAGAAAGATCCATCCAGTACTTTCCCATAAATAGCGGTAACAAGAATTGTTTACGGACGGACTAGATTATACTAATGTAGATACTAATACACTGAAAACTGTTTTCTAAAAACGTTGAAGATTCCAGTTACTAGATAGAGTAATGAAGCAGTTTACTGTGGAGATGTGTTGGCTGGGTTTTTCTCTCCACTTCAAAGGTGAATGGGATCTCCTTTAGTGGCTGGTGTCTACCTCACTGAACAATCTACTGGAGGCCCACCAAGTATCCTCGACGGGAATGCGGGTGTCTAGCACAATAATCACAGCACAATACAATCCAGGAGAAACACAAACCTGTCCATGATCATCCATCTTCACAACTTAGACTTGCAGCTAGTAAGTCTGGCACTCGACAAACCAGGCTTTTGTGTTCCTCTTTCATTGTAGAAACATATACTTTAATTCACTTATATTTTCACATGGGATCTATTTTTGCTTAAATATGCAAAGAGAATCAATTGCCAATTGAAATCCCTTGTAATTATTAGTATGAAAATAACCGTGGCATCCATTTTGATTCCTTCATCAGTATCAAAGTCTCACAGAGTTCATGTCTCTAATAGCTCACCATTTACAAATTTATAATCATTTCTAAAACAGCGTTTGCGAAATCATGCATTCGCAAATATGTCTGAAAAGTTAGGTATAAAGTATTCATGAAATCTTAAGTGATTTATGATAAGTAATTACTTATATATATAATGATATACAATTCAGACAATTTTGTAGTTTAGAAATGCGGTAAGGCATATTGAGGAATTGTATCAGTGCTTTGTTTACTTGGGTATTCTGTCCAGGTTTTGATGAACTGTGGAAGTAGTTTGTGAAGATCACAATGAGACACTTACACACACAAAGACCACATCTGTACCAATTTAATGTAAATTTCATTTGGTGATGTCAAAAAATTCAAAAATATTGCATACAAAAAGAAGTAATTCATGTATATTTTGTACTGGAATGATCTGAGTCGTATAGATGTACTAAACAATGTACACAAGAACAACAAACAGTGTTACTCACCAAATCCACCCGGCTTAACAGGTGGAAATCTAGCACCATGCCTCTTATCTAACAAAAAATACTAAATTATCAATTATATATATAATATGAAGAATAATCCAGTGAGAAAAAGATGACTGAACACCAGGAAACGATTATAGATTAATGTATAACAATCGGCAACATACAAAGTTACTGAACATACATGTTTGTACTACTGACTACAAAGCCAAGATCCAATGTAAAAAACATTAATTTGACAAGTATATAGCAGTAATGCTATAAAGGTACCATGTGAAAACAAATGTAAATATTTAAAGTGAACCCTGAATAGAAATACATCATATAAAACAAAATAGAGAAAATAGCAGTATAGGTAACACAAAGAAAATCAGTTATACATATCGGAAAAATAATGTAAAGATGTCATTGAAAAATATAACAGATTAACAATATAAAGCTTTGTTCAGGCTTCACTCAAACACTGAGTTCTGAAAAAGGGTCGATTCAAAGCTGATTTTTTGCATAGGAATTTGAAATGATTACCTGTATTATACTAGAAAAGTAAAAAAAGATCAGTTTTGTGAAATTGCTCACCAATTTTGAGGCCTATTAACAGACATTGGTCATGATTCTCGAACTAACATCACAGATATAGCTACCAATGTTTAGTTAAAATCACACACTTAGTGATATTAATGGATTGTAATTAAATCTTTGTACAATACGGCACTTAAAATATAACTTGATCGTTACAACAGTACAGTATAATAACTATGTTTGGGGAAATATTGTCTTTTATTTTTGTATGTCACAAGATATATCACAGCTTCAACATCACCAGATCTGAAATATCTGGTTATTGTATTTGACCTGCTGACCTGCAGCTTGCTGGAATGAATTGCCTTCAATTGCTTTAAAAATTAATTTTGGTCAATAATGTTTTAAAGTTCCAACATTCTTATATCTTAAAAGAGTGAGGCAATATTTCTTCTTCAAATAAGATCACGTAAAATTCTGCAGGTCAGAGCGGTCAAGACTTCTGAAATTTTCAAACTTCTCAATAAATATCTATAAGATCTTGGAGTATTGGCAATTGACTTCCTGGTGTGGAAAAACATCACAAAACTACAGAAAAAACAATACATGATTATAAAAGTAGAACATGGATTACGGTGAAACTCACAGGTCAGTTTTTAAACTTTGCAATATCACTAAAACAATCAGCATGGTATTGAAAAACATGCATCTAGTACATAGAGAGTACAAGGTCACTGTCTTAAACTATAAGCTGTGTTCTGACAAGTGTGAGCCACTTTTGTCTTTCTGTCCCCAGCCAAAATACAATAGATATTTTAAGACACTGACTATGTACACTATTTACCCTACAACACTTCATCAAAACTGGAAAACGAAATTTCAACGGTTCATTAAGCCTGCATGATGTTTGTTCAACTGACGCTGACATTATGCTGCAATGTGCCTGATGACGCACATCAAAATAATTACTCTTTGTGGGAATATTGTCCCATTCTTCAATGCATATGGAAAGCAATTTCATGAGTTTTCTTTATAAACTTGTTTGTTAAAATGAATAATTTTTATTTATTTAAAACAGTTCTCCATATTTCTAGATGAAACATGTAAGTAAACGTGAAAGTGGTGGTGTAGAATTAATACACATGCTAAAATACATGCATATGTGGCAAGTATATCCTGCAATGGCAGCACAGCTGCTGGATAAAACAGAAAGATTTCAAAATAACCAGCAGCCAAGAAAACCTAAAAGAAAACAGAAATTTTACCTGATGGAATGTTAGTAGTTATAGAGACAATGTGTTTTATTTATAATATTCAGAATGAAATAGGTTTTTTTGTTACAATCATTGCTACATCTACACCAGAATAGATTTGATAGAAATCTCACATGGAGGTTTACACCAATTTCAACCTCTGTAATACCTTTTATTACAAGTTTCAAGTGTCCAAACAAATAGTTCAACAAGACAATTCTCGTCTCCTCTTGGATTCCTGTTTCTTAAGCTTTTAACAAAGGAGTATTTTGGATTTACAAACTTTTTTCATGTCTGTACATTTGATTTATTCAAGTTGGTAATGAAGTCAAGAAAAAGGGTACAACAATAAATAATATAGATAATAAATAAATAAGTAAATAGACACGTTAGAAAAGAATACTATACCAAACTGAAGACACAATGACCACAAAAATTGTCTCCCCTGAATATAAATGGCGAGAAAACAATCAGCAGAAACCCATGCTGGTGTAAATGTCACAAAAATAATGAAGTGGCTATTTCAAATACGTCCTACTGTAAGTGTTATTAATTAAGCATCCTCAAATTTTAGCAGATCATCACGTTTTGGAAAACTAGTACAATGATGAATCGGTGCATCGTGAATGATTGCTGGATATAAACACTTTAAGCCACAAATAGCTAAATAATATTTTTTCTACAAAAGGCCTTAACAATTAATGAAACCCCTACACTACCAATTTTCCATAATGTTTAAAAAAAAATGTTAAAATAACAATATTTTAATGTTAAATCTTTAACTCATTTTTAACTACCGTGTATATTAAAATATTGTTAAAATGGCCTTATTTTAATGTTAGACCTTTAATGTTAATCTCACCTGAAACAAACACATACATTAAAATAATGTTATAAATTAATGTCTTTTTAACGTTAGATAACCCTTATTTAATGTTAGATTAGTGTAACAATAACGTTGAAATTTTTTCGTGTTATTTTGATGTTAAATTTTGATTTTTTAAAAAAATCATAACATAATTTTAGGATAAAATTTAATGGTAATTGATGTTGAAAAATAATAACGTGATACTAATGTTGAAATGACGTTTAAATAACTTTGAAATATTGGCTGTGTAAATTTTGTTAAGACATTGAAATTTAAGGCAGTTATCAGGTAAAGAGGTTCAGAACTTCTGTCATCAAACTACCGCAACCAAAATTCAAAACTTCGAACATTTCCATAAATAAACACAAAATAATATGAGGAAAATTTGTCCACTCTTAAGTATATTACTAAAAGTTAGAACACCTGCAAAACTCTGACTGGTATGTACCTAGATAATCATATCATCAAAATTGTTCTAAAAGCTAGTCATAAGGTTGAGATCTGATAAAATAGCATTAGTGAAAGAAGAAATGTATGTATAAAATGTATTCTTTAATTCTTCAACTACCAAATTCATTTTCACTTAAAAATATAAAAAAAAAAACACCCCGTTTGAAGTTGTTCAGTTACACAAAAAGTAACTCCTTGGTACTAGAATCTTCACGAATAATTTTATTAATTCTATCAAACTTTACCTCCAAAGCTAAGAAGAAATGAGTTATGGTCTATGGAATGAGCTGAAATACTAAGGATCATGTTTTCACAACAGATTTTAAATATGGCTTCTTTCATTGTACTACAATAAAAAAATTTACATACAAAATATAAATTAGATTACTGACATTGAGAAGATAAAAAATTCTTATACATAAATATTCCTTAGTCATCACTTGAAGTTAATTCTTCCTCCCCGCGAAGTTTCTTCAGGACAGCTGTAGCGAGCTCTTCAATCATGGAGGGTTGTGATGTGGAGGCTAACTTGATAATGACGGGCTCGATACTGTGGTTTTGAAATGCCTTAAGGAATACCGCATCTGATGGAACAAGGTTTCAAATTTTGAAATCTGTCTAATGTACCTCAACATGCCTTTCTTGTTCATTTTGATAAGTTATTGAATATCTTACATAACCTACAAATTATTACTATTGAAATGGGTTCATTGTAGGCGACAATTTTTATACTGTTTTCAAATCATATGATACCATCAATCACTATGACATTTTCATTGTCACATTGGCTGGGTAGCTAGGCATAGCATCCCTTGCCTATAAGTCTGTATTCTTACCTAAAATTACTTCTATCATAAATGGTTAAACAGATTTTGATCAAATTTGGCCTAAAGCATCCTTGTTTTTGTATAATTTGAAATTCTAGTAATTATAAAAAAAAACATGTAAATTAGTTTTTTTTAAATATTTGTCAGTCAAATATTCATACATGTAAAGGGAGATAATTTTCAGCTTTATTTCTAAACGGTACAATATGAATTGCAGGTATCACTATACCATACTAACTATTTAATCTTATCTGTGTCCTCTTTGATAACCTGATAATAATCACTGCTTCATTTCTTTTACCAAAACAACTACCTATCATTTGGACAAAGGTCAAGCAGAATGATAGGGAAAAGAATGAGTTTTCTCCCATCATTCATAGGCTTCCGTTTTACCTGTTCAAGAGTTCTCTGTCAACCCCTCGGGTATGGTTTCTCTGTCGACCCCTTGGGTATGGTTTCTCTGTCGACCCCGAGGGTATGATTTCTCTGTCGACCCCGAGGGTATGATTTCTCTGTCATCCCCTATGGTATGATTTCTCTGTCGACCCCTAGGGTATGATTTCTCTGTCGACCCCTAGGGTATGATTTCTCTGTCGACCCCGAGGGTATGGTTTCTCTGTCGACCCCTAGGGAATGGTTTCTCTGTCGACCCCTAGGGTATGGTTTCTCTGTCGACCCCGAGGGTATGGTTTCTCTGTCGACCCCTAGGGTATGATTTCTCTGTCGACCCCGAGGGTATGATTTCTCTGTCGACCCCTAGGGTATGATTTCTCTGTCGACCCCGAGGGTATGATTTCTCTGTCAACCCCGAGGGTATGACAGATAGTGCATGCACCGGAAGTGAACCAGAACTACTTCTACACACGTCGTCTGCTACATGTATATAAACAAATACACATGTACAAATTTATGAAGCTAAGTCTCTCTGAGAAAAAGTATGATGGGAGAAAAATAATCATCTTCTACCTTGAGGGTGTAACAGAGAAATCTGCCGACCCTCGGGGTGATATTCTTGGTTGTCTAACCCACGGCATAGCCTCGGGTTAGACAACCAAGAATATCACCCCTCGCAGATTTCTCTGTTACACCCTCAAGGTAGGGGAAGATTCGATTAATCACTACAGTTGATTATCAGGTAACATCCCATGTGCAGAGAATCTCAGGCGACAAATAAAATTAAGATGGCAGACTCCAAAATCTCAATAATTATCATCTATTTAATGATATCAAATTTTATTTATTTTAGAATCTTTTCGAAGCAGGTTTTCAGACATATTAATCACTCTTGTGAGTGCCTTACCACTGCGCCACCCAACCATCAATTTGATATGCTGTCTTTTAACGGGGAAATCACATTCCAGACAGAACATGCCAGATAGACTTCTTTCAGAAATATCTAAGTTATTTATCAAATTCACAGACAAAAACAATTCTACCATACGTTAGTTCAAACACATAGGATTGTATATAGGTCATCAATGAAAACAGATTGTATATAGGTCATCAATGGAAACAGATTGTATATAGGTCATCAATGGAAACAGATTGTATATAGGTCGTCAATGGAAACAGATTGTATATAGGTCATCAATGGAAACAGATTGTATATAGGTCATCAATGGAAACAGATTGTATATAGGTCATCAATGAAAACAGATTGTATATAGGTCATCAATGAAAACAGATTGTATATAGGTCATCTATGAAAACAGATTGCATATAGGTCATCAATGGAAACAGATTGTATATAGGTCATCAATGAAAACAGATTGTATATAGGTCATCAATGAAAACAGATTGTATATAGGTCATCAATGAAAACAAAGTTGAGCACTAAAGTTCCATGGCTAGCTGGCTACAGTAACAAACAAGATATTGGTTAAAATATCACTAGAAACAAAACGACCGACCCTTGAACTGCCAATATTTTACATTAGAGAAATACATAAGGTGGGATAGGTTATACTCACCTTTGAGAAGCTGTACCAAAGTCCAGAGGGCTATATGGACAAAGTTAGGGTCGGCAGATTTCAGGAACATGTCTATATATAGCACTATTCCAGAAACATTGGCTGACTTCAGGTCTTCGGGAATTTCTGTGAAAGATGGAAATGTAGAGTTTGGATGTTCTACTGTTTCATTATTTCTGGAAATTTGACTGTAAAAGTGTCTTTGTTTTGTGAGCTCTCACTTAGTCAGTGATTTGATTGGTGTTCAGTGGCCACAGCCGGGGTCATCCTCAGTTAATCTTTTTTTTTTAAATTATGTAAGCTGCAGGAAGGAATGATTGAATAAAGCTTTTTAAAAGGTAAAACAAAGGATTTCAAATGGTTTCTTAGCAATATCAATATATTTAAAACATTTTTTTTGTTTTATAAAATAAAGAAATAGGAAAGTAGCATGTCTAGACATAGAGACTAGTTTGTGTTTTGTTACCTGCCCAACCCCCCCCCTCCCCTCCTCCCACCCAAAGAAAAAAAATTGGGTATTTTATCCACTTTCCCAAAGGTTAAGAGGTATTTCAAGGTCAAGACCAGAACAACTGTATTGAAATCTGAACAATTAATTAAAACATGTTCCATTATAAGTATTTTGTGGCAGATAAAACAAACAGGTGGTTCATCACCCTTAAGTGAAATTGTACAATATATAGAATCTCTCACCATCCTCAGGGTGAGATAGGGGGATCTTGTTGTCAAACAGAAGGTCTTAACCCCAGTATTGAGATCCCCTATATAATCCTTAAAGGGTGTGAATGATTATTCGCTTACCCTGTTTTCCTTGTCTAAGTGCAAGACAAAGAAATTGGGATAACAACTCTCATAATCAAATTCCAAGATGGCCGCCTTGTCTGATCAGTCCTTAAATCAAATGGACACAACAAGGGACCAAGGTGAACCTACTTATGAAATATGAGAGAGATCCATCGCACATTTCTCAAGAAATAGCAATAACAAAAATTGTTTACAAACGGATGGACATTGGACATTATATATAGCCCACCATATGGTGATAGGAGGCTAAAAAAGCGTGGATTTACCAGTCCAGGGTAAGAGAAATACGTGTCAGTTTCCACTTACCTGCTATAATTACCTGAATATCTTTCCTCATAGGATAGGAGACAATCAACCATAGGTCATCATTTACTTACCTACAAGAAATAACTGACCCAGGGTTCCCACACTGTTGTACTGAACCTCTGACTGGGTGGACAGTGTAGCCAAAGTCACCAGTTTACCGAAGACCTTTCCACCGTGAAGGTGTAGCAGTTTGTATTTAACATCATCTGAAAATGTCATAAAAGACAACAGTATCAGTTAGTGACCCGTTTTATTTCTGTTGTTGATGAGTTTCTTAAAGCCTACGTGACAGCTATCTATACAGATCAGCGAGTCTATCGTAAACTTACATTCTGTAACTTACCGTATTTATTCCAATAAACGCCCCGGGGGCGATTAATAGAATACAAAATTTCATAATTTGTTGGTCGTGACATGCCATGGCTGCCACTTAAAAACATTGTTTAACAAACTAACGAATTACTCAGCAAAGAATGCATTTGAAAATTGCAGTAATTCCAACATCGTTGTAGCTTTCAACATTGTTGTCAATTGCATTCTGATAACCTGAATTCTTGTATGAAATGACACGATGTCAATCGTGTCAGCTTCAGTCAAAAACGTACAATGTTTATCATCGCTTGTAGGCCTAGTTTGCATAACAAAATAAAAAACACAGCGGTATATAAGCCAGTCTGTTTCTTAATAAATCCCACATACCTGATAACAATGTCTGGGACAAAAAGAAATTATGACACTGCTTTCAAGCTTAAAGTAATCGCCTTCGCAGAGGAGAAGGGTAAACATGCCGCTGCGAAAGTGTTTTGTGTTGACAGAAAACGAGTGCGGGACTGGTGTCAAAACAAAGAAAAATTAAAAAATCTTTCTAAAACATCTAAACGCTGTAAAGGAGGTGGGAGGCATGTCAGATATGAAGATATTGACAAAAATCTGATGAGATGGCTACAGGACAGACGGGAGGCCGGAATACGCATGACTGGGATTTGAGGCCCTGCGTATGCATAAGGCAAATGGTAGTCAATCGTTCAAAGCCTCCTATGGATGGTTTTCTAAATTCAAAAAGAGACATAACATTTCGTTCAGGTGATCTACGCATGTGGCACAACATGAAGTTTCATTAATTGATGATCGTATTGACAGTTTTTTTAATTTTGTTTTAAGAATGCGTCGGCTATGAGAATACCCCGATAGCCATATCGCTAACATGGACGAAACCCCAGTGTGGTTTGACATGCCAGGAAAATCGACATTGGCAATAAAGGGGGAAAAGGAGGTCAGAGTTTACAGTACTGGCCATGAAAATAAAAAAATAACGGTGACACTGGCAGCATATGCCGATGGGACTAAAATTGCCCCTCCTTGTGCACATGCCAGGCATTCGTCCCCTTCCAAAAGATGACATACCAAGTGGTATTGTGGTATACATGTGCAGGGCCAGACAAAAATCCTGGGCAAACGAGGAAAGTATAAAATTTTGGTTAAAAAAACTCTGGGGTGTGAATAATACAGCTAGGCGGTTATTAGTATGGGACGCTTTCCGTGGTCATCTTACTGAAGATGTAAAAAAACTGGTTCGTCTAAAATATAATTCAGACATCTGTGTTATACCCGGGGATGTACATGTAAGCTACAGCCAGCCGATGTGTCGTGGAATAAAACCAAATCAGGGAATTGTAAAGCCCCATCTAAAGCTGTAATGTTGTCTTGGGATAAGAAAGCATGGGATAGCATTAGCCCGGACACAATCAGAAGATCGTTCAAAAAATGCTGTATCACAAATTCGCTGGACGGTAGCGAGGATAATATTTTCCAGTGTTTATTAGAGACGGGGCGTTTATTGGAATAAATACGGTATCTGTACTAAAACTAGTTGTCATAATACCTGTCCCAAAAAATGTAAGTACAAATATTTCAGTAACTTTTTTATATTGGTCTTGAGTCTATAAAATCCAGAATGATATTCTTTTTAAAAAGTTGATAGAATGTAAGAATGATTCAGACTGGTCAAATATCATCACGTTCTGTGTTACTTATCAAGATTATTTTTCTAGATTTTTTGTAAGTTTGTAAAATTTAGCCATTAAAATAACAGACATGAAGGATAAAACAGCTGTATTATGCAGTTCATTAATAAATCCAAATTTCATTCATTGTTAAATACAACCCAACACATATAAGGAGGTCAAACTACACACCTCAGACCTTCAACTGATGCCAAACTAAGGTCAATGCTCAGACTAAGATATAGGGCCCCACTCTGCAGTATCTTTGTCAATTACCACAGTGTAAATATACATATCTCATCAGGCCCCACTCAGCAATATCTTTGTCAATTACCACAGTGAAAATATACATGTCTCATCAGGCCCCAATCTGTAATATCTATTCCAATTACCACCGTGTAAATATACATGTCTCATCAGGCCCCACTCTGTAATATCTTTTCCAATTACCACCGTGTAAATATACATGTCTCATCAGAAAAATTGAGGAAAGGTGTTGCGAGATAATGGAAACATTCAAGAAAATGCTTGAGGATTAATAATCTGTCTTCAAATGACGGACTATTTGCTTGTATGACGACAGACGATATGATGCCAAGACATGAAAATGAAAGTAAAAGATGAATTGTGTCAGTTCCAATGCTATAGAAACAAGAAGCATGAATTGAAATATAAGGATTGAATCTCGCTTATGTCGATTTCATGGGATGATGAATTGAGTTGGTCTTGAGACAAATTTAATGAACTGCTTTGATTAAATTTGTCTCCAGACCAACTCAATTCATCATCCCATGAAATCGACATAAGCAAGATTCAATCCTTAAATCAAGGCTGATCAAAATCCAGGTCATGAAATAAGATGTTTGGAGTTAAATTGTTCACGAAATAATTTCGTAAACAAATGGATGACACTTTACAGTAAAGGTCAATATTCTTCTTGAAAATGTTATTACCTATTTCTGAAGAATCTCTGTACACTAAAGATCATACTGGCTTTTGTAACATAAATACAATATGTCTGAATTAATCATTGTTATTTTATTGTACCTTACAAAACACTGACCTTCGTCAGCAAACACTGCCAGTGCAGCTGTCACCTCCTTCAGTGTACTAATCCTTGTCTCTAGCCCCAACAGCACAAAGGTCAAGGCCTCCACACAGTCATGTTCTACCAGGTCCTGGACACAAACACTTACGTTAAAGATACTTATGTAAAAAAAAATATGTACATAAAAATGCTTATGTAATTAAAAATACTTATGTCAAAATGCTTAATATGTAAAAAACAATACTTTCGTGAAATTTACAAAAGTATTACAGAAAAAAGTTTAGCTTATAGTGAATTTTAAAAAATACTCAGAAAAAGACAAATATCTTTATGATTTTTTATGAATAGTGTTATTTACTTATTACAATAAACACACTTGAGAGGTTTTTGTCATAACAGATGCCGAGCTACCATATATTTGTAATACATGAAAATATATTTCAGATTCTGCTACGATTTCACCTAAGAAAACATGTAAGATTTAATATATAGGCTACTGAATATGAACATGCGCCAATCACCATCATCACATCATTATGTACTGACCATAGCTAGTTCAAAGGTCAAAGGTTACCTGAAGTGGTTACATTTGATAAGAGATCCTTATGCTGATAAACTGGAACTGACCATGGCTAATTCAAAGGTCAAAGGTTACCTGAAGTAGTTATATAGAAAAAGGAGATCCTTATGCTGAAATACTGGTACTGACTGAGGTTACCAGGAGTGGTTACATTACAAACGAGGTCATTATAAGCCTGATATACTGACCATACATTGTAGTTAGGTCAGTTACCTCCCATGATTACTATAGAAAAGAGCTACATGCAGGTCACAGGTCAAAGGTCATCAGATATGAAAACAACAGATAAGAGGTCCTAATTACCCTAATTTTCTTACCATAGTTTCTGGAGGTCAAAAGCTGGATGCAGCTGACATATTACATAAGATAAAAGGCCCTTACCCTATTACATTCATCATAGTAACAGGCAGGTCAAGGGTCAAAGGTCACCAGATGTGAGTACAACAGATAAAAGGTCCTAATTATCCTAATTTTCTGACTATAGCTACAGAAATTCAATAGCTGGATGTAGCTGACATATTACATTAAATAAAAGGTCCTTACCCTGTCATAATGACCATAGTTACTGGCAGGTCAGAGGTCAGACGTAAACAGATAAAGTCACAATAGATAAAAGGTGCTTATCTTGTCATAATGACCATAGTTACTGGCAGGTCAGAGGTCAGACGTAAACAGATAAAGTCACAATAGATAAAAGGTGCTTATCTTGTCATAATGACCATAGTTACTGGCAGGTCAGAGGTAAACAGATACAGTCACAATAGATAAAAGGTGCTTATCTTGTCATAATGACCATAGTTACTGGCAGGTCAGAGGTAAACAGATACAGTCACAATAGATAAAAGGTGCTTATCTTGTCATAATGACCATAGTTACTGGCAGGTCAGAGGTTAACAGATACATTCACAATAGATAAAAGGTGCTTATCTTGTCATAATGACCATAGTTACTGGCAGGTCAGAGGTCAGACGTAAACAGATAAAGTCACAATAGATAAAAGGTGCTTATCTTGTCATAATGACCATAGTTACTGGCAGGTCAGAGGTAAACAGATACAGTCACAATAGATAAAAGGTGCTTATCTTGTCATAATGACCATAGTTACTGGCAGGTCAGAGGTAAACAGATACAGTCACAATAGATAAAAGGTGCTTATCTTGTCATAATGACCATAGTTACTGGCAGGTCAGAGGTTAACAGATACATTCACAATAGATAAAAGGTGCTTATCTTGTCATAATGACCATAGTTACTGGCAGGTCAGAGGTCAGAGGTTAACAGATACAGTCACAATAGATAAAAGGTGCTTATCTTGTTACACTGACCATAGTTACAGGCAAGTCACAGGTCATAGGTCACCAGATACAATCACAATAGATAAGAGGTGCTTATCCCATTATAATGACCACAGTTACAGGAAGGTCACAAGTCAAAGATCACCAGATACAGTCACAATAGATAAAAGGTCCTTACCATGTTACACTGACCATAGTTACAGGCAAGCCACAGGTCATAGGTCACCAGATACAGTCACAATAGATAAGAGGTGCTTACCCAATTATAATGACCATAGTTACAGGAAGGTCACAGGTCAAAGGTCACAATAGATAAGAGGTACTTTCCCTGTTATAATGACCATAGTTACTGGCAGGTCACAAGTCAGAGGTCACCTGGCAACACATGATCACACTCGGTAAGAGAAACTTACCCTGATATAATGGCCAACAGCCAAATTACGTATGATCCCTGCTGCGTGTCGCTGAGCCTCGGGATTGTGACTGTCACACATAATATGACACAGATCTATCACAAAATTATTGGCTACGATCACCACCTACAAAATATAAACATTTTACAAAGTTCATTCCAAGCTTTTACTTTCGAATTATATTCAGTTATTTGGGATTGGAAATATATGGAATTCATAATATACAACAGAAGTTCTAAAAACCTGAACAGTATCTACATTATCTAGTCATGTGAAATCTGATCCATGTCTGTAGTTTGGGAGAAAATTCCTAAACAATGAGAGCCATTCATGAAAAGTCTCAACATAATTTGGTTGAAATCTTCTCAATAGATCATGAGGAAGTGTGTTTTAGATTAAATCAGCCAATTGTGACACCATTCATCATCTCCTAAGAGAATCTGCCCCTTTAGCTGTATGTGTTTTGATTCTCAATGGATAAGAATGCTACCTCTACAGTTGAAATCAGACCTATGGCTTGCTATTTCATTATTCAACAGGTAATCTTTTCTGAGACAATAATCTTGATGTATTTAAAAAATTGTCTGCTGTCTCAAACACATACCTCATTTGCCTTGTGAATTGAAAGGTTTCGTAAACATGCCACTGCAGCCACCAAAGTGTCTTTGTGGCCTGTCCGTAACACTTTCTGTAATCGTGGCAATGCACCATATTTCACAATGAGGGACTGGTTATTACCTGAAATTCATGCAGAGATGTCATTATAGGTCAAAGGTCAAATCAACAGTATAGACCTGCATTAACATGGACAGGTCTGTTAAGATTGAAACGTTATACCAAAAAGGTTTCATTTGAAATAGACTGTATAAATGCCCTGCCCTCTGCTTTCTGGACCCAAAATTAAGGGTGATAACCTGGGTTAAAATGATATGTACAAGGAGATGGTTGAATTACAAATTCATTTAATACTAAAACTTAGTGACAGAAGTGTTTACTATTGGAAATGGTATATGCTTCCACAAAGACAAAGCAATACAAAAATTATACATGTGACTAGCCATTCCCTGCCAGAAAGCATTGTGGTATACAAACAACACCTCTGTATATGACTCACACCATTTCAAGATTCTTGAAAAACATATTTGTTAACAGTAATAAAGTATTTCATTATTTTTCTGTTTTTATTCGTAAACTTATTTTGAAAATAGATGTTTGTTGATCTGGAAAATGACTCCATTAGTTTCTATGGTTATAAACATTATGGATTATATGGTCAAATTTGAGTAAACAGTCACCTATCTTTAGTGGCGTAGCCAGGATCTAAGGTTGGGGGGCAAAAATCTGGCAACGCCGGCGAAGCCGTGCGTCGTGAGTGCCAAAGGCGCGAAGCTTTGGCAAGGGGTCTGGGGGAAGAAAATTTTGAACATTTTGGCTCCATTTCCTGCATTTTGAGTGTATTTTGAAGGAAAATAACAACACAATAATACTGGGATAAGTCGATATAAGGTATTGAAATAAATAATAAAATGGGACCCGCACCCCCATTAAAAACTCAACGGATTTACACGTTTCACAAAAGTAGAGATTGGTGTCTACCGATGGATTGAAGTTTATCAACTGGATATTGTACTTTGGTAAATTCTATTAAAATTCAATACTGCATTTCTGAAGAAAAAATAAATAAACAGCATCTGTCCATATCTACAGATCATTCCTTCAAAGTTTCATCAATATCATTCAAACAGAATTTGTGTTATTAGTTCAAAATAGATCCTAAATAGGAAAGAAATTGTTCAATACACTGAACTGGATAATCACATGAAATTTCATCAATATCTGCTGAGTAAAGATCATGGACGACAGAGAGGCCCATAAAAAAAGATGACATGAGTTTATTAGGCAAGTTATGACAATCCCTCATCTCACGATCAGATTCCCGAGAATAGATTCCCAAGAATAGATTGGACCAAAAATATTGGATGTAAATTCGAAATGAAGTATTCCTAGAAAATATTAAGACTTACCATCAGATGCAAGATTTCTCAAGGCTAAACAGGCCTGACATTGTACCTAGAAAACAATTTGAACAGTAGGTCATAAACCTTTAATTAGAAAACACAAGTACATAATAGATATATAAGAAAATATAAAGTATAAAAAAAAATCTGAATTAAAAAGTAAAGTAGGGATTAATGAGGATCAGTGGAGGCAACAAGACCTAAAAGTTTTAGGTCTGCATGTTGGATGTTTCCTTCACAGTATCTTAGCAACACATATAAGTATTCATGACCATAATCCCATATCAATCAGAATAAATACAAATGACAGGATTTATCAGTATAAGGCCATAGTTTTTGTGTAAATCATACTAAAGACATTGTCTTAAACCAAATCTTAGATCACAGAATTTTCCTACTGTCACATGCATGTCAAAATCTCAAGGTAGACAACAGTACATGTGCCTCTGAGACTTACTACTTATTGTGCGAAGAAACTGGAGTACCCAGGGAAAACCCATATGGTCGGGCAGGTGACCACTTACCTTTTCATGTCCTTTCCAGGAATCGAACCCCAGACGGCTAGGCAAAAGGCGAGTGCTTTACTACTGCGCCATACAAGATACTTTTTGTTGTTGTTAATATATCACAGTATAACTGTTGCATTGTATTCTTTAATTGACATTTGATTTTTATGACAGTTTCAATATTTTCCCAAACTTGACCTTCAAACTTTGCTTAACCTTTAACCTCACCTTTTCTGACTTGACAGATACCAGTTTGATGAGATTTCGTATAACATCAGTGTGACCAATAGCAACCATTAAAGCTCTGTGTTTTTCATTGACAGCAATGTTACTGAGGGAAGCAGCACTGTAGTATTGAATGTCCTGGTCCGGAAACTGGAGGAGGTCAACCAGTACAGGAATGACACCCCCAGCCACTAAATCATTCCTGTGGTTTTCTGTAAATGATAGCAAAGCAAGCTGAACATTCAGTATGTTAAGTTGCCATTATACACTACGTCAAAAAAGAAAACATGTATAAATTTAGTTTTATAAATTCATATGCAAAATAATGATACATTTTGTACCAAATCTTTTTTTACAAATCATTACCTTCATAACATCATCGATACTTCAGGGGTTACAATAATTTTCTCTCCCTGTACCCCTGGAACCATCCTCAATACTACAGGGGTTACATTAATTTTCTCTCTCTGTTCCCCTGGAATCACCCTCGATGCTCCCGGGGTTATGACCACTTTCTCTCTCTGTACCTCTGGAACCATCCTTGATACTCCAGGGGTTACAATCACTTTCGCTCTCTGTACCCCTGGAACCATCCTCGACACTCCAGGAGTTACAATCACTTTCGCTCTCTGCATCCTTGGAACTATCCTCGATACTCCAGGGGTTACAATCACTTTCGCTCTCTGCATCCTTGGAACCATCCTCAATACTCCAGGAGTTACAATCATTTTTGCTCTTTTTACCCCTGGTACCATCCTCGATACTCCAGGGGTTACAATCACTTTCTCTCTCTGTACCCCTGGAACCATCCTCGATGCTCCAGGGGTTACAATCACTTTTGCTCTCTGCACCCTTGGAACCATCCTCGATACTCCAGGAGTTACAATCACTTTCTCTCTCTGTACCCCTGGAATCACCCTCGATACTCCAGGGGTTACAATCACTTTTGCTCTTTGTACCCCTGGAACAATCCTCGATACTCCAGGGGTTACAATCACTTTCTCTCTCTGTATCCCTGGAACCATCCTCGATACTCCAGGGGTTACAATCACTTTTGCTCTCTGTACCCCTGGAATCACCCTCGATACTCCAGGGGTTACGATCACTTTCTCTCTCTGTACCCCTGGGAGAGAGTGAAAGTGTTCGTAGCCCCCAGAGTATCGAGGACTTAAACATGTGTATATCTCACTGGGATCATGAATGATTCCATGCCTACCTGTCTGCTGAAAACACATAACATCTATCATATCAATGTGCACCCAAATCTGTCTTGCCATATCATTCTAAAATATTCCAGCTTACTAAATTGATCGGTTTTTAATTGGTAACAATCTGATTCCTCCACTCACACTATTGTAATCTCAGGGAATAAATAATCACTTACGAAGATGAGTGAGATTTAAAACAGCACCAGCAACATTTCTCTGTACCCGTAAATCTTGGGACCTCAACAGCTTCAGTAGATGGTGTATAACATGACCCCCGATAATTTTCTGTTTATTGGCATCTAAAAAAGAAGCAGAAATACACAGATATAATCCAGAAATCTATATTAACTTTGTTAGTTTACCACTATACTTATATACGAACCTCAATAGTCTACAACTAGTCCTACTTATTAACCACAATAGTCTACAACTAGTCCTACTTATTAACCTCAATAGCCTACAACTAGTCCTACTTATTAACCTCAATAGTCTACAACTAGTCCTACTTATTAACCTCAATAGTCTACAACTAGTCCTACTTATTAACCTCAATAGTTTACAACTAGTCCTACTTATCAACCTCAATAGTCTACAACTAGTCCTACTTATTAACCTCAATAGTCTACAACTAGTCCTACATATTAACCTCAATAGTCTACAACTAGTCCTACTTATTAACCTCAATAGTTTACAACTAGTCCTATAGAGTAACCTCATCAGTTTATACTCGAGGCTTCAATATTATTCATTATTCAGAGTAACTATACACTCAGCTGTGTTACACTGGACATATGTATTACTGGACTGACCTGAGGTTACTAGAGTAACTATATATCCAGCTGTGTTACACTGGACATCTGTATTACTTGACTGACCTGTGGTGGTTAGAGTAACTATATACCCAGCTGTGTTACACTGGACATCTGTATTACTGGACTGACCTGTGGTGGTTAGAGTGACTATATACCCAGCTGTGTTACCCTGGACATCTGTATTACTGGACTGACCTGTGGTGGCTAGAGTGACTATACACCCAACTGTGTTACACTGGACATCTGTATTAGTGGACTGACCTGTGGTGGTTAGAGTGACTATACACCCAGCTGTGTTACACTGGACATCTGTATTACTGGACTGACCTGTGGTGGTTAGAGTAACTATATACCCAGCTGTGTTACACTGGACATCTGTATTACTGGACTGACCTGTGGTGGTTAGAGTAACTATATACCCAGCTGTGTTACACTGGACATCTGTATTACTGGACTGACCTGTGGTGGTTAGAGTAACTATATACCCAGCTGTGTTACACTGGACATCTGTATTACTGGACTGACCTGTGGTGGCTAGAGTGGTTATACACCCAGCTGTGTTACACTGGACATCTGTATTACTGGACTGAAGTAGACAAACAAGAGCCTCGATTCCTCCACATTGACCAACAGTGTCCTTGTTAGAATCTACAACAGAGAGAAAAGATTGGTTACTGAAAATGCTCTTAAATAATCCCAGAGGCAGACTTGTCCATTACATTACCTGTAACTGATATGAAGGGAACCGGGGAATGATATATCAAATATCATCTTTAGGGATTTATAGTAATACACTATACAGATGTAGATTATTTTCAACCATTATTTCTTTACCAGTATGGCACAGGATTGTATTAATGATTCTAAAGATTACCTGGACCATGAAGAGTGAAGTTGCTCACAGCCAGAGTCGTAGATTTCTGTACTTGGAGATCTTGAGATTTCAGGAGCTGAATTAATGGCTTGGCAAGAGCTACTGTCAGTGGAGCTTTAGCTGGACAAAGGCACAAAAATCACACTGAACAAGCATTCTGTCATTGTTCAACACTATTAGCAGGATATTCTGCTTGCTAGTAGTTTATAATTTTAACAAACTATTTGTGAAAAGATAAAGTACAAGTTATGAAATTCCAAGTTAAGTTTAGAATATAAATGAAAAGAAAATTGAAATCTGTAAAGGAAATTTGAAGGCATTAATGATCTCCTTTGAACAATTTCGACGCTTTTTTATAATAATGTCTGAATAAATCCTTTCTATACTGTATACAATTGTAAGAATATATATTGAAGGTAAGTCATTATTCATTTCTTCCAATTTACTGATGGTCTGCAATGCTAAACACTGCTGATTACTTTGACTATCAATACCTACTTTCTTACTTAGAACTCTTCCTGACCTAGTAAAACGCAACATTGCTGTTCCCTACAGCTTCGTTGTCTATAACTGACTTCCCTCACTGAGTGTAAATGACTGTTGAAGTTCTATAACTGACTTCCCTCACTGAGTGTAAATGACTGTTGAATGTCTATAACTGACTTCCCTCACTGAGTGTAAATGACTGTTGAATGTCTATAACTGACTTCCCTCACTGAGCGTAAATGACTGTTGAATGTCTATAACTGACTTCCCTCACTGAGTGTAAATGACTGTTGAAGTTCTATAACTGACTTCCCTCACTGAGTGTAAATGACTGTTGAATGTCTATAACTGACTTCCCTCACTGAGTGTAAATGACTGTTGAATGTCTATAACTGACTTCTCTCACTGAGTGTAAATGACTGTTGAATGTCTATAACTGACTTCTCTCACTGCGTGTAAATGACTGTTGAATGTCTATAACTGACTTCCCTCACTGAGTGTAAATGACTGTTGTATGTCTATAACTGACTTCCCTCACTGAGTGTAAATGACTGTTGAATGTCTATAACTGACTTCTCTCACTGAGTGTAAATGACTGTTGAATGTCTATAACTGACTTCTCTCACTGAGTGTAAATGACTGTTGAAGTTCTATAACTGACTGTTGACAGTTGAAGTTCTATAACTGACTTCTCTCACTGAGTGTAAATGACTGTTGAATGTCTATAACTGACTTCCCTCACTGAGTGTAAATGACAGTTGAAGATCTATAACTGACTTCTCTCACTGCGTGTAAATGACTGTTGAATGTCTATAACTGACTTCCCTCACTGAGTGTAAATGACTGTTGAATGTCTATAACTGACTTCTCTCACTGAGTGTAAATGACTGTTGAAGTTCTATAACTGACTTCTCTCACTGCGTGTAAATGACTGTTGAATGTCTATAACTGACTTCCCTCACTGAGTGTAAATGACTGTTGAATGTCTATAACTGACTTCTCTCACTGAGTGTAAATGACTGTTGAAGTTCTATAACATACTTCTCTCACTGCGTGTAAATGAGTGTTGAATGTCTATAACTGACTTCTCTCACTGCGTGTAAATGACTGTTGAATGTCTATAACTGACTTCCCTCACTGAGTGTAAATGACTGTTAAAGTTCTATAACATACTTCTCTCACTAATTTCCATGAAGCAGAGTGCTGCAGATTTCTGTAGCTCCACATTGTCAGATAAAGCCAAAATACTAAGGGCCCGGACATGTTCATTATTCAACACTGGGTCACCATTGGCTTCTGCAAATTATGGAAACAGAACATAGTGTTATAACACCCTGTATCTGTGATAAATTACAAGCTGTAACATCTCAATAAAAATTTCTTAAATCTTCCAGTTATATATTTAAGTCTTTAAAGAAATCATAAACGAATTTTACATTCCTCAAAAACAAAAATTTCATATCTTTTAGTGTAAACAAACTACATGGATCTTCAGACTGAAAACTTGCAAATGGAGGTAATCTAATAAAAATACCATGTTCTAGATAATGAAGGAGGTTGCTAACAGCTTGTCTCTCATTTTCCAGTAGAATCATTTCGTAGCTGTCATCAATGAGACCACCATTTTCCTGTGGTATTGGGATACAGCCACAGGAGAGACAACATATACAATAGTCTAGCAGGTGTCGTAGTAACTCAACAATCTCCTCAAGGACATTGGTTTTGTCCGTGGATGTCGATCGCTCAATCTTTATCTCAAACTGTTGGTCCAATGATCCTAATGACTGAGATAAAAGCGTAAATTGCCTACTATTAAAAACATGTTCATTGAAATCTAGAGCAGTAAAACATCCGTTGAAATTTAAAACAGTTCTGTGTTTGTATTTGCAGAAAGGAATGTAAACTTTAGCAAAAATGAAACAGAAAAGATAACTTTCATATACCAAGATGTTAAAGGCTTGCATGCATACATGAACATCCATGTTCTTCAAAATGCTCTATTCATTATCATAAACATATTTATGGGGATTGATCTTCATAAAAAGCAACAGAACCATTAAAACTTAAATATGGCATCTAAATTACAAATATGCATCTGTTAATTGTGACTTTGACCTTTGAATAAAAAAAACAATAATTATCTGTAACTATGACCTTGACCTTTTAAAAAAAATTTGAATTTGTAAATGTGAGCTTGACCTGTTAGCATTAAAAAAATCTGTTTGTGACCTTGACATTTGATCACATTTTTACTAAGAATATATGGATTAACATATAAAGAGTCAATGGAATATTGAACTAATGTAAGATCTTGTCATCCACTACTGCTCGCTCTTTATTTGTTCTTTAAAAGTTCAATCTTTACAATTCTTTTCAGAGTAGACAGATTACTGTACTAAGAGTAGACAGATTACTGTACTAAGAGTAGACAGATTACTGTACTAAGAGTAGACAGATTATCACACTAAGAGTAGACAGATTACTGTACTAAGAGTAGACAGATTACTGTACTAAGAGTAGACAGATTACTGTACTAAGAGTAGACAGATTACTGTACTAAGAGTAGACAGATTACTGTACTAAGAGTAGACAGATTACTGTACTAAGACTAGACAGATTACTGTACTAAGAGTAGACAGATTACTGTACTAAGAGTAGACAGATTACTGTACTAAGAGTAGACAGATTACTGTACTAAGAGTAGACAGATTACTACTAAGAGTAGACAGATTACTAAGTAGTAGACAGATTACACTAAGAGTAGAGTAGATTACTGTACTAAAAGTAGACAGATTACTGTACTAAGAGTAGACAGATTACTGTACAAAGAGTAGACAGATAACTGTACTAAGAGTAGACAGACTACTGTACTAAGAGTAGACAGATTATCACACTAAGAGTAGACAGATTACCACACTAAGAGTAGACAGATTACCAAGAGTAGACAGATTACTGTACTAAGAGTAGACAGATTACTGAGTAGACAGATTACTGTACTAAGAGTAGACAGATTACTGTACTAAGACTAGACAGATTACTGTACTAAGAGTAGACAGATTACTGTACTAAGAGTAGACAGATTACTGTACTAAGACTAGACAGATTACTGTACACACTAAGAGTACTAAGAGTAGACAGATTACTGTACTAAGAGTAGACAGATTACTGTACTAAGAGTAGACAGATTACCACACTAAGAGTAGACAGATTACTGTACTAAGAGTAGACAGATTACTGTACTAAGAGTAGACAGATTACTGTACTAAGAGTAGACAGATTACTGTACTAAGAGTAGACAGATTACTGTACTAAGAGTAGACAGATTACTGTATTAAGAGTAGACAGATTACTGTACTAAGAGTAGACAGATTACTGTACTAAGAGTAGACAGATTACTGTACTAAGAGTAGACAGATTACTGTACTAAGAGTAGACAGATTACTGTACTAAGAGTAGACAGATTACCACACTAAGAGTAGACAGATTACTGTACAAAGAGTAGACAGATTACTGTACTAAGAGTAGACAGATTACTGTACTAAGAGTAGACAGATTACTGTACTAAGAGTAGACAGATTACTGTACTAAGAGTAGACAGATTACTGTACTAAGAGTAGACAGATTACTGTACTAAGAGTAGACAGATTACCACACTAAGAGTAGACAGATTACTGTACTAAGAGTAGACAGATTACCACACTAAGAGTAGACAGATTACTGTACTAAGAGTAGACAGATTACTGTACTAAGAGTAGACAGATTACTGTACTAAGAGTAGACAGATTACTGTACTAAGAGTAGACAGATTACTGTACTAAGAGTAGACAGATTACTGTACTAAGAGTAGACAGATTACCACACTAAGAGTAGACAGATTACCACACTAAGAGTAGACAGATTACTGTACTAAGAGTAGACAGATTACTGTACTAAGAGTAGACAGATTACTGTACAAAGAGTAGACAGATTACTGTACTAAGAGTAGACAGATTACTGTACTAAGACAGATTACTGTACTAAGAGTAGACAGATTACTGTACTAAGAGTAGACAGATTACTGTACTAAGAGTAGACAGATTACTGTACTAAGAGTAGACAGATTACTGTACAAAGAGTAGACAGATTACTGTACTAAGAGTAGACAGATTACTGTACTAAGAGTAGACAGATTACTGTACTAAGAGTAGACAGATTACTGTACTAAGAGTAGACAGATTACTGTACTAAGAGTAGACAGATTACCACACTAAGAGTAGACAGATTACTGTACTAAGAGTAGACAGATTACTGTACTAAGAGTAGACAGACTACTGTACTAAGAGTAGACAGATTACTGTACAAAGAGTAGACAGATTACTGTACTAAGAGTAGACAGATTACTGTACTAAGAGTAGACAGATTACTGTACTAAGAGTAGACAGATTACTGTACTAAGAGTAGACAGATTACTGTACTAAGAGTAGACAGATTACTGTACTAAGAGTAGACAGATTACTGTACTAAGAGTAGACAGATTATCACACTAAGAGTAGACAGATAACTGTACTAAGAGTAGACAGATAACTGTACTAAGAGTAGACAGATTACCACACTAAGACTAGACAGATTACTGTACTAAGAGTAGACAGATTACTGTACTAAGAGTAGACAGATTACTGTACTAAGAGTAGACAGATTACTGTACTAAGAGTAGACAGATTACTGTACTAAGAGTAGACAGATTACAGGAATAAGAGTAGACAGATTACTGTACTAAGAGTAGACAGATTACTGTACACTAAGAGTAAGAGATAGACAGATTACTGTACACTAGAGTAGACAGATTACTGAGTACACTGTAAGAGTAGACAGATTACTGTACTAAGAGTAGACAGATTACTGTACAGATAAGAGTAGACAGATTACTGTACTAAGAGTAGACAGATTACTGTACTAAGAGTAGACAGATTACTGCACTAAGAGTAGACAGATTACTGTACTAAGAGTAGACAGATTACTGTACAGAGTAGACAGATTACTGTACTAAGAGTAGACAGATTACTGTACTAAGAGTAGACAGATTACTGTACTAAGAGTAGACAGATTACTGTACTAAGAGTAGACAGATTACTGTACTAAGAGTAGACAGATTACTGTACTAAGAGTAGACAGATTACTGTACTAAGAGTAGACAGATTACTGTACTAAGAGTAGACAGATTACTGTACTAAGAGTAGACAGATTACTGTACACTAAGAGTAGACAGATTACTGTACTAAGAGTAGACAGATTACTGTACTAAGAGTAGACAGATTACTGTACTAAGAGTAGACAGATTACTGTACTAAGAGTAGACAGATTACTGTACTAAGAGTAGACAGATTACTGTACTAAGAGTAGACAGATTACTGTACTAAGAGTAGACAGATTACCACACTAAGAGTAGACAGATTACTGTACTAAGAGTAGACAGATTACTGTACTAAGAGTAGACAGATTACTGTACTAAGAGTAGACAGATTACTGTACTAAGAGTAGACAGATTACTGTACTAAGAGTAGACAGATTACTGTACAAAGAGTAGACAGATTACTGTACTAAGAGTAGACAGATTACTGTACAAAGAGTAGACAGATTACTGTACTAAGAGTAGACAGATTACCACACTAAGATTAAACAGATTACTGTATTTAAGGTATGTAAGATATCGTCATTTCAATATTTCATATTAAGTGCAGCTGTATGGGAGCATGAAATAGACAAGACTGAGATCATGTCTATATATATAGTTTGCATAACTTAAAGCTAGAATTTTAGCTTTGTCAACTTGTTCACAATAGAGAAATAGTTGTTTTTTATGTGTAGACAGAGATACGCAGCAGATATTGATCTTACAAGGCTTGTTGTCAACAGATGTTGTACATATTAGCATGAGTTGTATTATACTCACTACCCTATACATGTAGCTCATACATATTGAAGTAAATATTTGAAACCTGAAATGACTCTAGATCTACAGTAACACACATTCTGAATTTAAGTCAAATCCCAAATATAGATTATATATATAAAATGGGTAATATTTTTGTGTTAGATGACACTCAAATCAAAAATAGGACACTATTACTGCTGAGAACATTGTTAGTATAAACACTATATATATCCTGTATGTATATGGTGTATGTATGATGTATTTAATGTGCTGCATTCATGCCCTACATGTATAACATAAGACTAGTAAAAGTACAACTAAGAACACAAAACAAGACAGGTACTACAAAGGTAGAGAACAGTCCGATGAGAACCTCTCACTGCCTGTATTAATACTGCAGCTTTTCTCTGCCTCCATGTATTTGACAAAGTATTTACAGTAAACTACAGCGTAAAACCTCAAATTTTAATTGGATCTTGGTAAATGATCAGAGAATGATTTATTTCATTGATGAACTTACTTGATGGGTTTTTAACACACAACATATAGCTTTGGCTTTACAACTTTCTGTTATTAGTGCTTTTGTTCACGACTTAGTAGATCAGTAATTGGCTAGAGGTGGCAACTGTTTCTATTGTGATGTAATACAATATATATAGGCATGGTAATGTCGCCAACTTAGATTGTTTGCAAAAGTATCAAAATTTACGTGATAAACAGAATCTTACATTCTTTTCATCTGAAGCTTTGTAAAATGAAAGCAGCAATGTATATATTAACAGTTAATTTTATCAAATAAATTTCCTAAGATATATCCATTTATTGAACTGTATCTTAAGCCTGATGATTTGAAGAATATAAAAACCAAAAATTTGTTTCCTACTTCATATTAATCTTAATACCTTTTGTCGTGATATTATTGATATAAATTCAATTAATTGGAATCCAGGCAATTTACTAGGCCGTAGATACATATTTACCAGGGGTAAAGATGTTACACTTTCTCTGCTGTTATAGGGAGGTTTGTTTACTTGCTGGATTTATTGCCCCTTGAACAGCCAGGCTCATTTTGAGGAGAGGTATCCTTATAGTGACTGGTGGCTACCTCACTGAACAACATATGACAGGCCAAATGCAAACCATCCACAGCAATTACAGGTAAAAGTGTCTTCCCGAAGGACACAACACCACCAGCAAAGACCTGCCAGCTTCAGTTCCTAGGAAACACAAACTGTCCTTGGTAAGGAGTGATGAATCTGTATACCTCTGATTTCCACCTGTAGTTACTTAAGTCAATGTTCTTACCACATAATAAAGATTGTAGGAGGTAACTAAGCATTAAAGATTCTAGATATAAAGACATATCAGAGTTGATAAATAGGCAAAAAAACTTTGTCATCATGTTATTTAACATTATGTATGTAGGGGAGGGGGTACCATGCTGACTAACATTAGGTATGTAGGGGAGGGGGGTACCATGCTGACTAACATTATGTATGTAGGGGAGGGGGTACCATGCTGACTAACATTATGTATGTAGGGGAGGGGGTACCATGCTGACTAACATTATGTATGTAGGGGAGGGGGGTACCATGCTGACTAACATTAGGTATGTAGGGGAGGGGGGTACCATGCTGACTAACATTATGTATGTAGGGGAGGGGGTACCATGCTGACTAACATTATGTATGTAGGGGAGGGGGTACCATGCTGACTAACATTAGGTATGTAGGGGAGGGGGTACCATGCTGACTAACATTATGTATGTAGGGGAGGGGGTACCATGTTATTTAACATTAGGTATGTAGGGGAGGGGGTACCATGCTGACTAACATTAGGTATGTAGGGGAGGAGGTACCATGCTGACTAACATTATGTATGTAGGGGAGGGGGTACCATGCTGACTAACATTAGGTATGTAGGGGAGGGGGTACCATGCTGACTAACATTAAGTATGTAGGGGAGGGGAGTACCATGCTGACTAACATTAGGTATGTAGGGGAGGGGATACCATGCTGATTAACATTAGGTATGTAGGGGAGGGGGGTACCATGCTAATCAACATCATGTATGTAGGGGAGGGGGTACCATGCTGATTAACATTAGGTATGTAGGGGAGGGGGTACCAAATCAACATTATGTATGTAGGGGAGGGGGTACCATGCGAATCAACATTATGTATGTAGGGGAGGGGGTACCATGCTAATCAACATTATGTATGTAGGGGAGGGGGTACCATGCTGACTAACATTATGTATGTAGGGGAGGGGGTACCATGCTAATCAACATTATGTATGTAGGGGAGGGGGTACCATGCTAATCAACATTATGTATGTAGGGGAGGGGGGTACCATGCTAATCAACATTAGGTATGTAGGGGAGGGGGGTACCATGCTAATCAACATTATGTATGTAGGGGAGGGGGTACCATGCTAATCAACATTAGGTATGTAGGGGAGGGGGTACCATGCTGACTAACATTATGTATGTAGGGGAGGGGGTACCATGCTGACTAACATTATGTATGTAGGGGAGGGGGTACCATGCTAATCAACATTATGTATGTAGGGGAGGGGGTACCATGCTAATCAACATTATGTATGTAGGGGAGGGGGTACCATGCTAATCAACATTATGTATGTAGGGGAGGGGGGTACCATGCTAATCAACATTATGTATGTAGGGGAGGGGGGTACCATGCTAATCAACATTAGGTATGTAGGGGAGGGGGTACCATGCTAATCAACATTAGGTATGTAGGGGAGGGGGTACCATGCTAATCAACATTAGGTATGTAGGGGAGGGGGGTACCATGCTAATCAACATTAGGTATGTAGGGGAGGGGGTACCATGCTAATCAACATTATGTATGTAGGGGAGGGGGGTACCATGCTAATCAACATTAGGTATAGGGGAGGGGGTATGTAGGGGAGGGGGGTACCATGCTAATCAACATTAGGTATGTAGGGGAGGGGGGTACCATGCTAATCAACATTAGGTATGTAGGGGAGGGGGTACCATGCTAATCAACATTAGGTATGTAGGGGAGGGGGTACCATGCTAATCAACATTATGTATGTAGGGGAGGGGGTACCATACTGATTAACATTGTTGCTTTTTCTGCTTGTTTCAGATAGAAAAAGGTGAAACTTAATTGAGCATTACAGGTATGAAGATAAGGTTACATACCAATAACACATTAGAGAGGGGACTTCACAGCTCGGTGAATAAACAACAGGAGCAAACAAGTAATTGTCCAGCTTAGGGCATGATCACTATCATTTTACACCTGTGATCTCTTTTATGACGATAAAAGGAAACAACAGCATTTTGTAGATCTAAAAAGGAATTGATAACTGATATGTATGTGTTTAGCACATGTGTAATCTTGCAGTTGGTAAGAAATGGAAAGAAAATAATAAAGAATTGAATTAACACAAACAAGGTTATAGACTCTGTTATGATGGGCACCTTGTTCGGTAGAACTTACTCCCAACTCTACATTAAAGGCAATGACAAAACCGGAGTACTGCAGGCAGTATAGAGATGAAATCAACAGTGAACTATCAGTACCTAATAACACACCATCCAGCAGTGTCATAAACTGACTGTGACATGATTTTTAAATAATTTAATGGAAATAAAATACCTGATATGTAATGAGTGTCATTTGATCCAGCTGTTAGTTTAATTTCCATATCTAGGATCAGTTCTGGTGTAGTACATACAAAAATGTCACAGATTATAGATCATAGAAGATGTGAGAATAAATATGTAAATTAACTGACACTAAAAACTAGAGAATGGACATACATGAAAAGTACATAGAATATTTCAATCCACCATTTATCACCTTCTCCATGTATAAATATCCCTGTTTTAACATACCTTTAATCCCTAGAGGAACAACGACCTTTTTGCTTAATTTCTTCATTTCTCAAGGCTATTTATGGTAAAATACTGGCTTTAAGCATATGAGGTCAATGTACTTGTCGATGTATGTACGTTTGGTCAATTCCTGCATAGGTCAGTTGATCATGAGGTTATTGACCGTTTACAATTTTTTTTTATATCATCTCCCAACAACACTAAATGGATATTTATCACCAGATTATTTGCAAATACATGTACATGTTATCTGCCACTTTTTTTTCAAGAAATAATTTTTGAAAATTGATGTGTGAATTGGAGTAAACTTTGCCAGCTGATACTTGTGAATTGACAAGATTACAAATTATGACATGGTCATCAGTCCTTTGCACACACACCCCACCCCCACCTCCACACACACACACCAATTAAGACAGCCCCCCCCCCCCCTTCCCCTACACACACCAATTAACACATAAGTGCATGCATTCACTAACGCATATTCCACATTGGAGCATGTAATAAAATGTTGTGTACAATATTAGATGGGTCCAACAACCCCCTTTGTGTACAGGCCTATTATTCTGTGTTCCTGTACATGAACTCTGTCTGGTCAATGTCGTGCCGATTTATTTAGCTTCAGTCGCAAAACGACAACAAAATCCTTTGTAAAATGCAATGGCTGTCAGTACAGGGATAAGTCCTAACTTCAACACCGTTATTAACATTAGGCTAGGAAATTAACAGCAGAATATATATAGCCTTTGTCACTGGTCCCTGTGACTGCAAGTGTGGTGAAAAGATCATTTGTTTATACACACACACAAACGCTTTCCTCGGATTGGTCACAAACACAAGGTAAAATCTCGCGTTACATTACAATATATAGCAACAGACAAATGCATGTTATTTATCAACGATGTACTCACTTCACCGCCCTTTCGTTTCCCTTCCATACTCTGTTTACACGTGCTACCTCGCTGTATTTACAGTAGATGTTTACCTGGTGTGTAACATTAGTACTCGTGAGGTCGTAAAAATAACCACCAATCAAAACATTGGATTACAGAATTATAAAACCGATGGCCTTAACAAGTCTGATTACCTCCCCTGACCTACACCGACAGCGTACAACAGCTGGGAGGTTAATCTTGCTTGCGTACGACGGGATTCGTAGCCAATCAATTTTGTGTTGTTTTCTAGATCCGAAGTAAAGTCACCTAGTATAAGCTATTCATCTATATCGTACGACGCCTGAGGTTCAGCTGAGATAGAATTAATTTTTTTTTCATTTCGTTGAACATTTTTTTCAATCGTAACAGAGACGTCTCTGATCGTAACAATTTGGGATGTAAAAGCGTTTAATAAATACATTTTAGTTAAAACTGGCCTTTCGATGTGTTTATCTAATTTTCTCCTGTATTATATATATATATTTTGCTGAATAATTTTTCAATTGAACTTGATAATTTTTGTGACAGTTGAATTACAACATTAATAATCATATCAAGTATCAAACGGTGTTAATACCAATATCACGAATCAATAGAGGTTTAGGCTGTAAGTATCAGACCAAAATGTGAAGAAACTTATCTCTAAGTATCTCGTACCAAAAATAATTTTCCATTTGGCATATATAATTTTGATGATTAATGGTTATGACAACATATACTTTTTCAGGGACGTATATATTATATATATACGTCCCTGACTTTTTTGAACGACAAAACTGTTCTGGACTAACTATATATATAGATCATGTATGTCAATCAATCAATCAATTCTTTTATTCCTCAACAGTGAGATTTACAAGGAAATATCAAAATTTAAGCAAAAGTTCAAAAAGCTCAAAATCTTATCTTTTTACATATATTGTCACTTTGAATCACATCACATACTATGATGAGATGCACCATCTACTTAAACATCACATCTTGCGGTTGTTTTGCGATAAAATGTTTTTGATGCGGTGTCCAAGAACTCAATGCCGTCTCTAAGGAAGAGAAAGTACTGATCGTCGGATTCGAAATATTGTTTAAATGTCGAGCAATACATCCCAAGTAACAGTCTCAGGGAGTGTTCATGGGAGAGGTTATCAATGTAAATACAAATATCCGTTCCATATGAAACAAGGACATGTTCCATGAACTTAGTTCTACTTTCCTGTGTCACAGAACACTTAGATGAGAAATGGAGAATCGGATCAATGTACAGTTCTTTGCAAACAATCCCGCCCTCCCTACGATCCATGAGCTATCACGGCAGGAACATAGAGTGATCTCCCTTCCTCTTACCTTTATGGCTGCCGACGAGTGCGAGGTGTATGAGCTGAGCTGCTTTTCTAACTCCTTCTCTTCGTACTTCCATTGTCGTTTGAGTATATTGTTACTCTATTAGTAGTCTATAAACCCATCTCCCAACTTATATTGTGAAATTAAGTATTGTCATTTGTTTATTTTAACAAGTTTTTCCGGCCGTGTTTTCCTCCACGTATTCGAGTGCGTGACTACTTGTCTCGTTGCTCGGATTTTCGTAAAGTTGGAATTTGTTTTCTTGCTGCTTTGTCGGCCGTTTTGTACGACCGTTTTCTTTTTTTGCAGTGCAGTCTTGCTGCGTACGGTAGGCTTTGTACTCTCGTTCGTAGGGGAACAGCCTGACCCTGACTCGGCGCAGTCGAGGGTCGAATTGACCGGAAGCTCCCGTCAGCCGATAGTGTTACCGTCTGGTAGGGACTTCCGCGACCGCCGGCTCCGGACCTGGACTTTCGAGTGCTGGTTCTGGGTCCACAGATTTCTTGTCAGGGTTGTCCTTGGCTACGGGGATTAGTGACTCGCAGTTCACAAATCCTTGCGTCAGTGCGGGGCCTTTCTTCCCGCCCTCACAGGTTGCTGCTTCTGGTCAGTACCAGTCCAGTCCAGTCCAGTCCAGAGTACCCTGTGCAGAGGTACCCAGGGGATTTCCCCCCAAGGGGTTGGGTTGTCAGGCCAGGCGTCCGGTTTCCGGTCACCTTTTCCCCCGGGCTCTGGGTATACAGGTGCCTGCGGGCATTCATCCCTGGGTCGCCAAGGCCGGCCTGTGGATGGCTCTGGGTACCAGCAGTATTCCAGCAGTTACAGCCTAACTCGTACATGTCTGGGTGTCCACCTGGTGTGAGTGGCGGTCCACCCATGTTTTTCGGACAGGGTGGCCAGTTCCAGACTCAGGTGGGCCATGTTGGCCAGTTCCGGAGTCACTCCCAGCCCGTGGCACCATTCCCATTCACTCAGGGGTTTGGGTTTAACCCTATGGGTTTTTCCCTCGTGGAATCCCTTGGGGTCGATTTCTCCCTCTAGGAGACAGTTAAGCAGTTCGGAGTCCCCCGAACGTTCTGCTACTTCGGGGGCCTTGTCGGCCGGTCCTAAGAAGGTTTGCCGGACCTTTAGGACTTCCGCCTCCCGCGCGGGCCCGTTGGTCTCCAAGTCCCAGTGGTCGCCTTCGGGTCTTAGACCTAAGCCTACAGCCACGTCGGTTAGGCGCTCTGCGTGTAAACGCCGTATGGAAGAGCCTCACTCTCTGAAGTCGGCTCCTTGGACCTCTCCAGATGTTCCTCCTGTCCAACTGGGTCCCGTCATCCAGGAAGTGGGAAGCCTGGATTCCGCTTACCCAGTCGGTCAGGGAGTTCGCTCGCTGTTGGACCATTCAGGAAACTGTTCTCCGCGGGGTGCCTCTGACCAAGCCTGTCCCCTCTATGACCCTTTTCACGGATGCGTCCAAGATAGGATAGGGATCTTACCTCGACGGCCAATGCCGCTCGGGGGAGTGGTCTAGCGAACAGCTCTCGAAGCACATCAATGTGCTCGAGATGAAATTAGATTAAATAAAATTGACATTATGTTGATGTTAGTTAATATATTGAGGATGATTCATGACTAATCTACAATGGACATATAAAGCTTGCTGTTTCACACTTTATCACACTTTTTTCTCTAATAATATACATTTATACATATTTTGAGATGCAGTTGCTATTTCATGGTCATATCTGAGCTCAGGCAAACGGATAGTTTATGTCAGTCCGGGCCAATGAATTGATATCAGCCGGGGTTGATAACTGATATCACTGGCCTGAGTCAATATCACGTCATCGGAATTAGTTATGACGTCATCAGACGCTTCTGGTCAGATCGCAGAGGACGCCACATAAAAACAGTCAATGACTGGCCGAGCCAGACGAAATGATCGAAGAGGAAGAAAGAAAAAAAGTTTTAAGGACAGTGACGAGAAATAAACGACAACGATTGTAGAAAATATGGAGAAATACAAAATGTAACACAGAATCTAACCTGGGCGACAGTATCGCGGTTAGCAGTCGTCAACAAAGGTAGGTTAATTCATACAATTCCACCTGGCCAGGTTATTTCTGTCTGTACGGAAAACAAATGGATCAGAGTATTAAGAAGCGCGAAAGTTTCCAGAGCGGTATATATCTGTCCACAGGGACTAGGCTTATCTGTCGATACACTCGTACTAAAATGTACTATTAAAATATAATAAATAATAAACTTTATTTATTTTAATTGCGAACAAAGTTTTTCCAAATTACATAAAACACTCTTGTTGGCTCAGATGGAAGAGCGCGTGGTCTTAATGTGGGAGGAAACCGGAGTACCGGGGAAACCCCACGTGGTCGGGCAGGTGACCCCATACCTTTTCACATCTATTCCGGGAATCGATCCCCGGACGGCTAGGTGAAAGGCGTTACCACAGTGCTACCCGACCAACCCCTAGTAACATAAGCCTTGGTGTATTGACAGAAGAGGCTACATCTTCTGATTTTAGAAAGTAGTTTCAAAAAATTCCGCACTACTTTTTCCGGTACAGTTGTCAGAATATGTGTGGTAAAAATATTCATTTTCACATACAGTTGTGACGGAACTAGCTACACAAGTTCTACTTGTTCTTAAAACGGATCACGCGCCATGGCGAGCATCGGACGGCCGATTGCAGTAGATTGTCTCAAAACATGTTTCTGGATCGGGTAAGCCACCAAACTGATAGAGAATACATGGTCAGTGTCTTATGATATGAGCTGAATTCTGGCGAGGATGAAGAAAGACAAAAGTGGCGGTAATTCCACAGAGGCTCGCCATTGTTGTCTGACTTCACCCTCGCCACAATACAGCATATATTTTAAGACACTGACCATGTTTTCTCTATGTACGGGATCTTTTATGGTGGAGTTTTGCTCTGAAACTTCTATTAAATAAATTAGTAATTTTTTCGATGGTCTGCTCATTCGTCCTTGGGGTCTAAATAAACGAAACCAAGGTTAATGACTGAATTATTCCATTTTCTTTAAACTTAATTTTCAACTCACTTGTTCATTTAATGTTGTAATGATGCGTTTGTAATTCATCAAATTATAGAGAAACATTGAAAGCCAATATCTCATTCTAGTAGGTTAATTGTTTCAGTTATTTTATCTGTTTTATTTTCTGAACTTTTGTTTTCATGACTTAAATCATTCCATTTTATGAAAATTGCACAAAGAATTAGATACTGAAATGTTTTTTTTTACCAGTTAAAGATTAAAGGTTGATTAACCAAAACATTTTTCAACAATATTTAATAAGTTAATAATTAGTGGAAAACACTGTATTATTCGCTCTCAAATGATTTTGATTTTTCTTATATCATCCTATGAAACTGAGAATATTGTTAAACCTTACTTGTCACATTTGTCGGGGGGAAAACCAGATGTGGTGATTCCAGGTGAATCATGATGTATGCTTCACTAGGTATAAATTCAATCTCTTGCATACCCAACAAAGCATCCTTAACTACATTGATACATACACTTGTATTTGTCCTACCCTATTCGTGGATTTTGTTTGTTTCTTATTTCATATGCAAATAAGTGAACTCCCATGTATAGCATAGATGGACAGGCGATTGACCCTCGTCTGAGATATGGATC